TGGTGGGGGTGGGTAGCTTAGTGGTAGAGAACATGACAAATATGTGTGAGGCCCTGAGATCACCAAGTGTGGTAGAACATGCCTGTGATCCCAGCACTGGGAAGGCTGAGGCAGGCTAATCCTAGTGAGATAAGAGATAAGTGGCCTTGGACAAAGTGAGTTCAAGGCCAGCCTGAACTACATAGCGAAACCCTGTCTCAAAACCAAACCAAACCAAACCAAACCAAAACAAAACAAAACACCCACTAGGTATGTGATTTAACAAAGGCTCAGGAGCAGTTGAGGGGATGTGTGGGGCTGTCTGGGGAGCAGACCCTGCTTAGGGAGGTCCAGGGATTGGAAGGGGACCCCAGACTTGGGGACACTGTAGAGGAGGAGGGGTCTTGTCTTTGGAGCATTGGGACTGCTAGTGGCATAAAGGAAGCTTACTGCGAGTGGGCAGAGAGGCCACCAAGGATGCAGGAGGGCCCTGAGGCCTTCTGAGCACTTGGGTGCAGCAGAACCAGACCCAGAAGCTGAGACCACTCGGGACTCTATGGACCAAGCCGCTCCTCCGTCAAGGGCCAGGAGGGCCCCCGGACTCTTTAGGACCGAATGGAGCCCATTGCCAACTCTCCAGGCTCCTCTTGATAGCCGCGCGTGGGCGGTGGCCCCACCCGAAAGCCCCTGCTCTGAGTCCTCAAGGCCACTCTGCCGGGCTGTGGTTCTGGGGCTCCAGCTCTGCAGGCCCTCAGGTTTCTGCAGGCCCTCGTAGCACTGTGGGACCCAGGGGCGGTGTGGCGCCTTCTCTGTCCTAGGTCCTCCTGGCCCTTGAGTCAGTGGCCAGGAAGCCTTAACCCTTTCCGCTCTCCCTGGCAATTCTTTGGAGTCACCGCAGGAAACGCGGGTGTCAAACCCTGCTGTGCAGGGTTGCAGTAGTTCTGCGCATGGCCGAATTGGTCTCACAGAACTTCGGTCCCAGGCCATCCTCCCGCTTGCCTGAGCAGCACTGCGACGGGCTGCCCCAGGCCGCCTGGCCTTCTCTGGCCTGAGCTCCCGTGGGCGACCCAGGCAGGCCTGTCCCCACCCAGGTTCTTCCTCCTGGCTGCAGTGGGGGAGGCAGACAGGAGCCAGAGAGGCCTGGGCCGGCGCCCGGAACCCCACACACTGACCGAGCCGAGGTGGGTGGGCAGCCTTCCCCTGAGGGTCTGGGGTATCAAGGCAACTCTGCCCCGGTGTTGCAAGGACTCTCAGATTCCATGTGGGCCAGGAGAGCAGCTGGGCCCGGCCCCGGGTCGCCTCAAGTGCCCCCATTTATAAAGAGGGACCAAGGAGCCAGCCACCGCAGAGAGCTTTCACCCGGTGGAAACCAGCGATCAGCTTCCTGCAGCTGAGCAAGGCGGGTCAGACAGGCATGGGGGGCTGGGGAGAGTGAGGAGGAGTGGCCAGCATGCCCTGGCCCCTGGGGCGGCCCTGCGGCGGGCAGGGAGGGCTTCTGGGGCCCTCACAGGGTCCAGAGCTCCAGCCTGTGAGTCAGGTGGTTTCAGAAGGGTTCATTCTCTGGGGTCCCCACGCAGGTGGGGTACTTGTGATGCCCAAGGCCGCCTCTTGTTCAATCCTGTTACTTAATTCTAAGGATGGTTTTTTTTTTTTTTTTTTTTTTTTTTTTGTTACCGGGGATCGGATCTCGCACTTGTCAGACAGGTGCTCAAGCCACTGGGCCTACACTGTACTTTTTTTGCTGAGTGTTTTAAACCAAGTTAGCCGGCTGGGCCTGGGGTACCCATGTAATCCCAGCACCTCCATGCTCAGCTACATAACGAGTTTTAAGGACAACCTGAATTACCTGGTGAAACTCTGTCTCAAAGAAAGAAAAAGAAAAGACCAAGTTAAAGGCAGACCTGTGCAAATCAAAATTAGTTTTTTATATATGTATATTTGCTAAGGTCAGCTAAAGCTCCTCACGGGTTATTTCTGGGACCATGTGAGGAGGCTGTTGGCTACTTTATTTATTCATTTTTGAGACAGGGTTTCACTATGCAGTTTAGGCTGGTCTTGTGCTCACTTTGTAGCCCATGCTGGCCTCCAACTCACAGCAATCCTCTTGCCTCAGCCTCCTGAGTGCTGGGATTACAGGCATGCCACCACACCTGGCATGTTGGCTACTTTAAATTTTGTTACTGGGAATCGAACTCACAACCTCGTATTTGCCAGGCAGGTGCTGTGCTGCTAAACTATATCCCTGGCCCCATGTTAGCTACTTTAAAAAAACTTTTTATCAGTATCATTTGCCAGGATGAGTCATGGTCTTGCTTGACTATATAGGTTTATTTATTTATTTTTTTTTACCAGGGATTGAACTCACAACCTCAGGTTTACCAGGCAATTGCTTGAGCCACTGAGATAAATTCCCCAGTCCCCCTATGTAGGTTTTTTTTTTTTTTTTTTTTTTAAGCATGTATTTTCCTACTTTGGGACCCTCTTTTTAGCATAATGTATATTGGGTGACCCTTGTCTTGGGGTCCAATAAGCTCTCTGTTTGGGAGGTTGGGTGACTCACTAAAGTCACATGGTTCTTTTAGAGAGGGCTGATTAAATGCTGGATCCTGGCTGATCTTGGAGCGCAGGAGCTAAAGCTCGATTGTTCTCTTACCCTAGTTTTTTTTTGAGACAGGGTCTCACTGTGTAGCCCAGGCTGACCTCGAACTCAGTGATCCTCCTACCCCAGCCTCCTGAGAGCTGGGATTACAGAAATGTGCCACCACCACACCTGGCTAGCTTTTTTTTTTTTTTTTTTTTTTTTTTTTAGCTTTGGTCTTTTAGCCTCAATTGTGGAACAACCCAGAAGGTTGGTTATACCAGTACTGAAGTGGGAAGCAATAAGTTTAACTATTATAATTGTTTTTTCAGACAAGGTCTTGCTATTTGGTTCAGGCTGGCTTTGGGCTCACTTTGTAGCCCAGGCTGGTCTTGAACTTGCAATGATCCTCCTGCCTCAGTCTCCTGAGTACTGGGATTACAGGAGTGTCCCACCATGTCCAGTCTATTCTTTCAATTTCTCCAACCATTTAGATCATTAATGATCAATTTTTATCTTTTTGTTTTGTTTTATGATAGGATCGTGCTATGTAGTTCAGGCTAGTCTTGAACTATGGAGCCCTGATTGCCTCAAATTTGCGGTGATCCTCTTGCCTCTGCCTCCCAAATGCTGGGATTACAGATGTGTACCATTATGCCTGGCTTTTTTTTTTTTTTAAATACAGGGTCTCACTGTGTAGCCTAGGCTGTCTTTGAAGTTATGATCCTCCTGCCTCAGCCTTTCCAGTGCCACTACACCTACCTAATTTTTTTAATCTGCTGTTTAGAACCCCAAAATGCATGATTTAGGGAGATCACTTCCCTTTGGCACACCCTAAAACCTGGTCCTCCCCATGGTATGCCAGGACTTGCTTTCCCATGAGGTTGCATGAGAAGCTGTTTAAGACACTGGTGAACTGATCCTCATGGATCTCCCTGGGGAGCACCTCTGCGCTCCCTCTGACTGAGGCAGTGAGTGTGTGCTGGTCTGAGGGAGTCCGGAGTGAGACTGCTGAGTGCTGGGACAAAGGACTCTCAACACTGCTCCGTTTCTGCTGAGGGAGCAAACACCTCTTGCCTTTGGTGTTTGCATGTATAAGTACACACTGTCTAGAGATCTGAGGAGTTTCTAACTGCTGGAAAGGAAAAAAGAAAACAAAAAACAAACCTAAAAAGCTATGGCTACAGAAGTTTGTAAACAGGGAGAAAAAAAAGAGGAAAAAGCCATAAGCCTTCAGAGGGCAAATGTTTGAGAGAAACTATATTTCAAAGGAAGTTGTTAGCCAGGTGTGGTGGCACACACTTGTAGTCCCAGCAGTCAGGAGGCTGAGGTGGGAGGATTGCCATGCATTTGAGGCCAGCCTGAATTACACAGCAAGACCTATCTAAAAAAAAATTTAAAAAATATAAATATATGGAGCAGTAGCAGAAGGTGGTAAGGGATTGAGGGAAGTAGAGAAGGAAGAATTAAAACTCTCTGGCTGGGCTTAGGGAAAGTCATAGTTTCAATGCCTCTTTTTACCCCCTGGTTGGCTTCCCAAGAGAAAATGTCACAGGGCTGGGTCTGAGATCCCGAGGCTGAAATAAGGAAACTAATCCATCCTTATGTAGGCTTGAGTTTGCTGATTCCTCTCATGGAGAAAGAATTTTAAGGATGCATTAGCAAGAGACATGGGGAAGGTTTGTTAAGCAGAGATTTTAGGACACTCGAGTAATGAGACATACTACAGTACAGAACTGGAATACTTGCTTTTCATGGTGGAAATCTGTAGAATGTGATAGCCTATAGCCTCAGTCCTGTGTGGGGTGGCCTCATTTATACGTGGGAAGGCAGTCTGCCGGTGAAATCTGTGGTCTTGGCTTGGTGGGTGGGGAGGATGACCCACCAGTGTAAGGTAATAGTCCATTCCTAGGGAAAAGCCTAATTTACAGGTAAAATTAAGCGGCTAGTCTATATACAGGTGAAAAATGGCCATTTTCAGGTAAAAAGGGGATGGCCCAACCCATTTTCAGGTGAAAGAGAATTGCCCACAGTTATGATGTTTTGGGAGAAAAGGAAAAAAAAAATGAGTTTATGATCTTAAGGTACAGGTTTCTCCTTTTGTTTTTTGGGACACAAGGTTTTTGTTTTTATTTACTGTTTTTGTCTTTTGGAGATAGGGTCTCTCTATGTAGTTCAGGCTGGCTTTTAACTCACTATACAGCCCAAACACCTTAAACTTGAAGTGTTCCTCCTGCCTCAGCCTCCCCAGCACCAGATTACTGGCATGTGCCGCTAAGCTTGGCTCTGCATATTTTTTATTCTGCTTCATTCTCAGCAAGGGCAGGAACTGCAGCCAGGGTTGCAGCGGGGGGAAGGTCCCCAGTTCCCAGGCGTGTGCCTTCTCAACCCACCCAGAGGCACCACGGGGTAGTCATGGGCAGGCATGAGGAGGAGATGGTGGTGCTTGTTTGGTAGTAGTTTATTGGTCCTTAGCATTACATCTTAATTACCAATGTAAATTCACATACACAACTGCAGGTAAAAACATGTAAAATAATATAAAAATAAATTGGAGGCTACTTTATATATTTACTGAATTAAGTAGTGTAATAAATACTATAATAAGCAAAAAGCTTCAATCACACAATTCAGTTTCACTGAAGTTACAGTAGTGTTTGTAAATATGAGTTTTAAAATTTAAGTTACAAATATTAAAGCACTGAAAAACTAGTATAAAAATGAATTTTGGCACGTAAGTGAGCTCTTATGTTATTAGCATTTGACCATCTGGGACACAGAGGAAGCCATTTCTCACCTACTTTTTGAGGTACAACTCTTTGACTAGTCAGCATCACGGCTGGAATACTTAATAGTTCACAATCTTTGAGTTGAACTTTTCCCTTTTGAGAAGCTCAAAGAGCAACCCAGAGCTTATTACTGTGCAAAAATTCTCCAAAATCCTAGTAGAATTTAGGAGGGAACTTTTTATCCCAACCTGAAGTGCCAGCATCCGTGCCTCAGGTTGGAGCACCCGGCGTGGTGGGGCCAACCAGACTCCTTGCTGGTGACCCCTTCCAAGGGTGTTATCAATTTCTCCAATTTCTGTCTCCTCTTTCTAATCAAAAAAAGAATCTCCCACATTGACACAAAATAACCCATAACTTCAGCGACTGTTCAGTCATCATAATCACACTCACTCTGGTGATGTAAAACTGAAGCTGATAACAGGAAAGGTGGCAAAAGCGTGTAAGCCCCTGGCGGACTTGTGCTTGTCCCTGGAAAGCGCTCCCATGTCCTTTCTAGGTCCCTGGTATTCACCGCTAAGGTCAGAAGCTAAAACACAGTGTTGTGGCCTTTCCTCTGCAGATGGCTAGAGACTTGCTCCTGGGCCCAGAGGAAGCGAGTTGGTATTAACCAACTTCCAGGCTCCAACTCAAGAGGCCGCAGGGTCAGAGAGAGGTGTGGGAGGCCGCACTCTCCCAGCCCACTCCTCGAACAGCTTGCGGTGCATGCGGTTGTGCCCTTTGCCAGGGGCATGTGTGCCCGAAATGCCCTCTTGCCAGTGTGCCCCTCACGCTCCTGAGCAAGCTGGGGAGCGTCTGTAGAGGCCTCAGCCAGTTTTGCCTTTTTGGCTTTGATACTTACTTTCCTTTTTTTCAATCACAGTTTTATATTCAAGTTGAGGTAATCGAAGTTTTCCCTCTCTATGGAGGGCAATGGGGACAGCAGAGCAGGCTGGCGAGAGAGCATTTCCATGGACAGCGGTTGGTACCTGAAGTCGCCATGCAGTGAAGCCCACGCGGAAGGCAGGCTTGCTCTTGTGCATGGCCCCGACCTCTCTTTAAAAACTCGTCCATGCAGCAGCCAGACTGCCAGGCCAGGGCAGTCAACAAATGGCTCAAGCTCCTGTTTCTTGAGCTTCCACTAAAAACTTCACAGTGGCCCCTGGAAAAAATGAAATGGCCTGTGGTCACCCTACCCCCGCCCCTTTCCCTTTTCTAAGGCTGCTCAAGCTTGAGTTTTTAAAAAGAGCTCAGCAGAGCTAACGGACGCTACAGTAACTCATTGCTTATTAATCAATTGCACTTAAGATCTATGTTATTAATTCTGAAGCAGAGGTTGCCCGTTTGTGGGCCTTGGGCCCTGGCCCCTGGCCAGCCAGAAGTCAGGGGCTCCCAGGCTTGGGCTCTAGAGCAGAACTCCCGTCAGCAGAGGTGGGTCTGGGGCACATGGGCCTGAATTTCAAGAGCCTTTCTTAACGTGAGATTTCTTTTTCAAGGGAATTTGCAGTTTTGTTCATTTTGTTTCAAATACACATTCTTTTCCCTAATACAAGTATATTTTACTGGCAAGCCCTTGCTAACTGCTTGCTCCCTGCAATCAGGCCTCTGTGCTCCATCCTGGCAATCCTCTCCATCGGGGGCTTTTCTCAAAACCCCTCTACATTACAGGAAACTATGCTGGTTTCACCTATGTGCTTCTTCCTAAAGCATGCAAAAATACGTAAATTCAGAAAACATTTACAATCCAGGCAGCTGAGGTGCTGAAAACCTAATGGATATCGCCTAAGTATCAGTGCCTATGACCCTCAGTCCCACATACTAATTATGAAGATGGGGCGCGGGACACAATTTAAATTCCCTCTGTTTTACAGCCTAGTGAAAACAACATCCCTGGAAGGACTTCTAACTTGAATACTGGAGTTCTTTGAAAATCCTCGTTCTTAGGAGCCAAACAAATCCAGGGCCAGAAATGATGCCTGGGAACTGGGGATTTCCTAAAGGTTGTGGCTAAGAAGTGGGCCCTGGCAAGGCTGGGTGCTGGAGACTGTTGCCCCTAACACATCAGCTGCAGGTGCCCCCTTCGACAAGGAAGCACAGCAGTGCCAGGGCCCAGGACAGCAGGCCTGCTCTCCTCCCTGAATGAGGGACACCAAGCGGATGTTGCAGAACCAATCCCAGGGTGACTGCGGACATCAAGGGGCGGGGCATACAGGGGGGAAAGCATTATGCCTCGACCTCAGCTGAGTGCCATGAAGGGAAGGAATCCCCTTGGGGAGAGCATGCTGTGCTCTAGACCTGAGCTGCTGGCTCTGGGGTGGCTGGGGCAGGGCTTCTGCTGCTCCCCCCGAATGGGCCCAAGGCCAGATCCTTCAATGAAAAAGCATGAGCAGGTCAGTAGACACTACTGGGGACAAGGGCTTTCCTGGAGCAGCATGTGAAGCCTGACATGGGTGTACCCCAGATTTGGCCACAATTGGGGCAGCCCAGGGTCCTCGCAAGTCCTCAGTGCTATCCCAGTAAGCTTCTCCCCACGCTTACCCTGTGCCTTAGCAACCAAAGGAAACACTGTTAGCAGAAGCCTAGAGGGTCTGGACTGGGAGCACACAGTTGCCCCGCTGCCCCTGCCACAGAGAACAAAGACAGCATGTACTCAAGTCAGCGGTGGGGCGAGAAGGACGTAGCCCCTCCAGGGGGCCTCTGGGAGAGCAGGAGTGAGACATCTAGACACTGTCTGTCCATCTCTGGTGGGCGCTTAGGCCCAGCTTCCTCTAGGGCTTCTGCTCGAAGAGGTCATGGTACTCCTGCTGGTCCAGCTCGCGGTTGTATCTCTCAATTTCCCGGTTGGCTTCTTCCACGTAGTCATTCATAAATTGGTCCATGACTGGCCTGTGGTTAAGGAAGAGTGCAGAGCCTGGACAACGAGAGATCTGTGGGCAGGTGGTGTAGGGGACACTGAGGTACCTGCTAGGCAGCCTCACGGCTACAAAGACTGTGACCAGTACTGGCAAAGGACCTTCTAAGGTCCCAGAATGGAGCCCTTGGGTTTCGCTAGCATATCAGCAGCGGCTCCCTGTCTCACATTCTCCTGTCCACCTTTGGGATCACTTGTAACAGGCTTGTCTTTAATTTGGAAATCACGACCTTGGTGACCACAGAACTCAGGTTGCACTCCACAGCTGCACTCCAGCTGCACCCTGCAGAGTAACAAGAATTATTCAATAAAGGGTGAAATTAAAAACATTTTCTTTTGGTTGTACTGTGGATTAAATCCAGGGAGCCTCTACTACTGAGCTACATCTCTAGTCCTTTGATTTTTTTTTTTTTTTTGGTGCCAGGGATTGAACTCATGACTTAGCGCTTGCTAGGCAGGCGCTTATGCCACTGAGCTAAATCCCCAGCCCTCTTTTGAACTCATATATATATTGTCTTTTTGAGACAGGGTCTCACTGTGCAGTTCAGGCTGACCTTGAATGTACTTTGTTGCCCAGGCTGACCTCAAACTTGCAATGTTCCTCCTGTCTCAGCTTCCAGAGTGCTACAATTACAGGTGTGTATCACCATGCCTGCTTCTTGAATTTTTTTATATTCTGAGATAAGAGTCTTGCTAAATTGTCCAGGTTGGGCTCAAACTTACAACCTTCCTGCTTCAAGTTCCCTTTCCCAGTGCTGGGATTACAGGCCTGAGCTACCACAGAGGACAAACCTAATTTAAACAACTTTAAAAAGCCAACATAAAAGTGGGCCTCGGTGGTTTGTTCCCCTGTGTCCCCAGCCTCTGCAGTTGCACTGGCTCTAGCAGACACCTGCTCTCCAGAGACATGCACTCTGTTGCCACCTTGGGATGTGAATTCCAACAGGGACCAAGTTGCTTCAAAGGATACGAGGGTGAAAATCAGTCTTATCACCAAAGAAGTTAACAAACTGGGTGCCATTATAGAAGTAGCCAGCAGGCAGGGGATCTAGGTGGCGTTTCACCTGTAGAAGGAAAAGTTAAGGTAGAATTATCTGGTAACTGTACTTTCCACTACTCATTCACTCATTAAAAACAAAGGAGCATGCTAGGTGTGGTGGTGCATGCCTGTAATCCCAGGAGAGGCTGAGGCAGGAGGATTGCTGTGAGTTTGATACCAGTCTGAGCTCCATAGTGAGTTCAATGGCAGCCTGGACTACATAGCAAGACCTTGTCACAAAATTTCATGACCACAAATAAACAGTCCATACCTTAACAAGACAGCCTACTCTGCCAAATGCAGGCACGAACACCCTAGCAACTGCCTCTCAGAAGAGGAACCCTGGCGTGCTTTCATGGTCCCAGGGTTTGGTAACTGTCGTCTGGTAACTACCCTTTGTTGGCCTCATGCCCTTCCCTCTCTCACTTTCCCACATCCCTACTATCTCCTGTAATTATAAAATATGCTACCTGCACTCCAATCTTTGCTCAAGGGCTGCTTCTGGGGAGTGAGCTACCAGGGCTGCCTTTCTTCTCAGGACACAGCCCCACAGGCTGCGCAGGCCTGGGGGGCTGGCAGTGAAGGGCCCTCCTCATCTGTCCCAGAGTACTCCGTGTCCCTGCTCATCATGGGGCTTGTGAAACAGTGCATCCTGGGGCCAACACTATGTCTCTTTTGGTCTTTAATGCCAAGTCCCTCAGGAAAGGCATGTCACTGGGACACAGATTAGGGGTTAGCCTGGGGTTTTGGGGGGACTCATCAAATACTTTTTGTCTTAGCTTTAGGATTCTAGAACCTTCCTATGAACAGCTTTTGTATGTACATAGCTTTCTCCCTGGGACTGTAGTTGGTTTCTCCACTTTTTCTTTTATTTTCTCTTTTTTTCTTTTTTGGTATTAGGGATTGAACTCAGGGTCGCTATCCTCAACCCCTTTTAAATTTTTGAGACAAGGTCTTGCTAAGTCATTAAATTTCCAAAACTGAAGCTGGGTGTGGTGACACATGCCTATAATCCTAGCACCTGAGAGGCTGAGGCAGGAGGACTGCCTTGAGTTTGAGGTTATCCTGGGCTACATAGTGAGATCTTTCTCAAAAGAACACAAAACAGCCAGGGATTTAGCTCAACAGTGTAAGCCTCCACCTGGCAAATGCAAGGTCATGAGTTTGATCCCTGGTACAAAAAAAAAAAAAAAAAAAAAAAAAAGAACATAAAACAAAAATATTGCCCAACCTGGGCTCAAAACTTCTGATCTTTATTTTTCAGTTCCCCAAGACTTTGGGATTACAGGCCTGTGCCACTGTGGACCAGACTCTGGTTTATCTTGCATAGAGACTTCTGTGGTTGCTTGAACAGGTCTCCTGCCTACTCCCACTACAGGCAGACTCTCCTTATTGTCACGTCCATATCACAGCAGCTCCCTTCCATCTCAGTGAGGCATGTGAGCAAGCTCTGTGAGTCTAGGAAGCAAGTAGTCTTGGCACCCCAGGAAGCGTGGGGTGGTGCACTCACGTGGATGTTCCTGATCTCCTGCTGGGTCAGCATTCCCCTGGTCTTCAGTGCTTTCCTCTGAGGCTTCTGTGCAGAGATGGAGAAGAAGACAGGTTGCAGTCAGAGCTGAGGGAGATGGGGCAGGGCTGGGGTCGAGTATGTGGAGGGGAGGGCATACCTACTTGGCAAGGCACAGACGCAGCACCGGCTTCCTGCCCTGTCCTGAGACACTCTCCTGGCAGCATGCCCAGCAGAGCACCCGGAGCTTCTGCAGTAGGCATGGGCCTGCCTCTGCAGACTTTCACCCCTAACTTCACCCACCAGTGACAGACACCAAAGGACAACCAGGGCCCCACAGTCAAGCACCATTCAAGAGTTTATCCAGATGAGCAGCCCATGCCTTAGAACAAAGCCCCAGGCCTGGCCAGCTCCTTTCTCAGAGTTCTAGGAATAGCCAAACCCCTGAGGCTGTGCCAAGAGGCTTGCAGAGAACCTGGGTCAGAGCAGACTAGCTGGCTGCCTGGAGTTCGCCTTGAGGGCCTTCTTTCCACTCTCCAAATGGTTCTGAAAGTCCCAGCTCAGCCTGTGAGGTATGGCTCCTGGGGGAAGCCAGTAGGGACTTGTCCTGGCCACTGTGCTGCTCATACCTGTGCCAGGCTGTCTGGGCTTTCATAGCTACCTGCTTCGCTGACTGCCGGAGCCAGTCCTTGAGGCTGTCTTCCTTCAAGGAGCAGCCGATGAATACCAGGTAGCATTCCTGCTGCCCGCTGCTCTCCTGGGCAGTGCTTCTGGAGTCTGGTGGTGGCGTGGGACCCTCCAAAACTGGCATGATGCTCAGAGAATTGGTGAGCGTGTTGTGGCAGACTTCCATTGTCCTTTCAGAGTCTGCAGGGAGAACACACACTTGCCCCTGAGGCCCGCCCTGAAAGGTAAGGCTACCTTGAGACTGTACTGAGTTGTATGGATCAGATGGCTGGGACAGATTACTAATAAACACAGAAGGGGGAAGCAACACAACTGGTGGAAAGGATTTAGTAAGAGAGGAAGGTGCAAAGGTATTTCCTGGCTTAGCTGATTTGGATGATTAGAAGGGGAATCCAAGAAGAAAAGGCTTGTAGGTGGGCCAAGTGTGGTAGTGCACATCTGTAGTTACAACACTGCAGAGGCAGGAGGACTGCTCTGAGTTCAAGGCCAGCCTGGGCTACACAGCAAGAGCCTGCCTCAGAAAAGCAAAGAAGAAAACGCTTGCGTGTGAGAAGAGGTAGAGCCTGACCCTTCCCCTGTGGTATCTGCAAGACTTGGAAGAGAGGTCTACACTGACATCACTGACACAAGACTGGCTGGATGTGGAGACTGGGTGTGACCTATAGGGCTGCAGTACCACCTGACAAGTATGGTGCCAGGAACGGATGACATCCTAGAAGGCATGGACAAGCATCACCTGGGGCCTTGGTGGTCTTCTTTTGCTGTCCAACTTCTTGACAGAAATGGGATTGAACCTGGGGGCTTGAACATACTAAGCAAGAGCTGTACCCACTCCTGGCCCGTTTTATTCCACTTTGACAAAGGGTCTCCCTACGTTGTCCAGGCCTTCCTTGAACTTGTGATCATCCTGCCTCAGCCTCCAAGTAGCGGGGAGCACAGGCATGCACCTCCATACACCATACCTCTTGCTGAATAGCCACCACCTGAGCTGGGGTTCTGTGTAGCAGCTGGGGGTGTCCTAGCATGTTCCATCCTTCTGGGGTTCCAGCTTAGTTTTAAACGTTTTTTGTTCTTGAAATGTGCCCTCTTTGGCCTCTGGATTATAGCCAATGTTATCCCTTTTCCCTGGCATAGTCTCTCCTCCTCATCTCTGAGTTGATCAACCCCTACTAGTTTTGAGGTCTTCCCTGACCACAGGCTCAAACAGACTATGAAGCTGCCAGGGTACCAGAGAGCTAAGGTGGTAACAAGGCGTGCTGGGCAGAGGGCAGCAGAAGGCAAGCAGAAGACTGACACAGAGTGGGAGCTGGGAAGCACAGCACTGGGTGCCCCTGGTGACAGGCCCAGGAAGAGGCTACGCTGACTCAGGCTGGGGTGCAAGTCTCTGGTATAGGAAGTGAGGAGCTATGAGGAGAGGCCTGTGGGCTCATCCATGGGCAGAGAAGTGGCAGAAAAGCCTAATGGTTTAAGGCCTGTGGGGCAGGGTGAGAGTGGAAGAGGCGTCAGTGCTCTGCAGGTACTAGCAGAGGCGGCGAATTCACATTCCAAGCTTGAGCACTCCACAGTACAGGGATCCCAGATTCCACTTCCCAGTTACCTGAAAACTTCACTTTGCCCAGGATGTGGTAGATGTTTCCAGAGAAGGGGCTTGGCTTGATGGAGGACTGAATTGCTGGAAGAGGAAGAGGACAGTCACTCACCTGAGGGCAGAGGGTAAATTCAGAGTGGTGCAGATGGGAGGGAGGGTTAGGGACCAGGATGGATACTGCTCGGGGTTCAGAGTTCAAGCTTCTGCCCCACCCCCAGCTCCCCAAGCCCTCTGCTGCTATCCCAGGGATGGGAAAATTCTCTTAGTGGAGTGATCAAATTGTAGCCCCACACAATCAGGAATGGGGGACTCCTGCACCCTCAATCCCTCTGCCTGCTTTTGGTCACAAATGTGAGGGGATGAGGGCACATGGAATGTTTGAACGGTGCCAGGAGGCAGGGACAACCCTGGAGCACTCTCATTGTGGCCTGGGACATGGCCTGGCTAAAGCTCACCTTTACACTTGGCCACAAAGCGCATCTTCTCCAAGGGTCGGCCGAACCACACACAGATCTGTACCATTAGTGGAAAGACCGAGCCAGCACTGAATTTACCTTCGTACCTTAAAACATTTAAAATAATTTAGATACAAGCACTGTTATACAAGATCGTGGGATGTCATTTATCCTGTGCACATCTGCCTTGTGTTGTGTACACATTTACTTCACCTGTGCATGGGAAGTTCATGTGGCCCTCAAAAGAGCAGGGCTTACTGAGGACAGAACCTCCTTCCTCACACTAGCAGTCCTTTCTACGGAAAGACCCTGCCTCCTCGTCATTCCCACCTGGAGCTGCGAGTCCTGTCACAGGACTGTGGCTCCTATTCAAAGCCTCTCCCGTTCCGTGGCTTCCATCTCACTGTGGGCAGGTGTGGCCTGTGTATCTGGTTGTACATTTTCTCCACAAGGAACCCAAGGGCAGCGCATCTCTGCTCTACTTTTTCAGACTCATTAAGAATAGTCATAGCAAAAAAAAAAAAAAAAAAAAAAAAAAGAACAGTCATAGCTGGGTGTGGTGGCACATGCCCGTAACCTAAGCACTTGGGAGGCTGAAGCAGGAGATCATTGTGAGTTTGAGGCTAGCCTGGGCTATGAAGTGAGTTCAAGGCCAGCCTCAACTGCACAATAACACTCTGTCTCAAAAAGACAAAACAAACAAAAACAAAAAACAAAAGCAATCACATATGGGAAAATTTCCAACATATGGAAAGATAAATTGTGATATATACTTTTCACTGTTTTAGGTAGGGTCTTGCTGTGTAGTTCAGGCTGGCCTTAAACTACCTATGTAGGTTGGGCTGGCCTGAGTGCTAAGATTATAGGTGTAAGCCACCAACTCCAGGCCTGATGTGTTAGTGACTTGGCTCCCCAGATGAGGAGCTGTGATTCCTTCTTTTTTTTTTTTTTTTTTTTTTTTTTTTGTCTTTTTGAGACAAGGCCTCGCTATGCAGTTCAGGCTGGCCTTGAGTTCACTTTGTAGCCCAGGCTGGTCTCGAACTCCCAACAATCCTCCTGCCTCAGCCTCCCAGTGCTGAGATTACAGGCCTGAGCGACCACACCCAGCTTGTCATTCCTTCTTTTTAGTTATTTCCTAGCGATGAGTTCTCAGACTAGAATCCCTTAGGGGAGGGTGTAACCGTCACACGCCCTAGCAGCGGAAAAGTATACCAGCTTCACAGTAATTCCTCAAGCAAAGAGTATTATAGGTATTCTGGGTTGCAGTAAGTACCTGAACAATGAGGGCCCACCTTCTTTATTTGCAGCACTGGGGATTCAATTTAGGGCCTCTACACAGAGCTGTATCTCCAACCTTTTTTTTTTATTCTTTGAGAGAGGGACTTACTCACTGATAAACTGCCTGGGCTATGCTTTTTTTTTTTTTTTTTGGTCTTTTTCCTTTTTATCGGTACCAGGGATTGAACTCACGACTGCCTGCTTGCAAGGCAGGCACTTATGCCGCTGAGATAAATCCCCAGCCCCGCTATGCTTGAACTTGTGATCTTCCTGTCTCAGCCTCCCAGAGGGCTAGCATTACAACCTGTTTCTTTTTTAGTCAAGGTGTTGTTCAGGCATAAGAAGTGATCCACTTATGTAGGCAAGTGAGATGTAACTCAAATCATGTGTTTCTTCTAAGAATATATCTGAAAACCTTTGATTTTTACATACTGACATTCCAGGTTAAAACTGACATTTTTTACAGCACAGTATCAGTTTTTTGTAGTGGTGTTAAGGGTACGATGAAGGATGTAGAGAGGACCTGGGAGAAAGGCAAAGATAACAGAGACAATCCAGCTGAGCAGAAGAGGTTAGTTGTGGCTGAACTTGACGAGGGTCTTCCCTGCATCTCCAACAGAGTGGAAGAAAACTGACTGCTGTACAGGGTCAAGTGCCGCCAGGGCATAAAGGAAGAGGGGTTTAGAGCCAGAAAACCTGGGCCTGAAATCCAGTTCTCTCCCTTATAGCAGTAACTTGGACTTGACATTTAACTCCTTGCTAGTACCTTATTTATAAAACATGGAAAATAATGGAAACCACTTCATAGGCTTGGTGTAAGGGTTAAACGAGACAAAGTCAAGCTCATGAGCGCTGCCCAATGGAACTTCCTGTGAGGATAGAATGTTCTGGATCTGCTGTCCAATATGGTAGCTGCTAACCACAAGGTGCTATGGAACACTTGAAATGTGGCTGAGACAATGAATTCTTAATTCTATTTAGTTTTCAATTCTATTACATTATATCCAGTAGCCACATGGCTAAGGGTGACCATACCGGAGAGTGCAGCTTTGAGCAACGCCCGGTGTGCAGTGACTTCACACTCTCTCCGCTCCCTGTGCAGAGGCCTGTGGAGACAGTTTCTGGGCCCCTCAGCAGGCAACGCACCTGCCCAACAGGAAGCCTGGAGGACGGCCTGACTGCATTCCGTTACGGGGAGCAGCTCTCACAGGCTGGGGTGTAACCTTCTGTTCCATGCCCACCAGCACACCCTCGCTAGAGGCAGCACTAAGTACAGGAGAGTACTGTGCTTGGTTCCCACAGGATGACTTCTGAATCTCAACTGCCAGGAAGGCTTCCAACTTGGAAGCTGAGACAGGAACACGGCCTTCCACAGGACATGGCAGGCAAACCGTGTCAAGTCAGCTAGTGCATCACCCCTGCAGAGTGCCCTTGCAAAAAACACATTTTAATTTCATACTCTTTTTTTCCCCTGCAAGTAAATAAATTGGGCTTACAAAACTTTTTTGGTTACTTTTCAATGACAATACTTGCCAGCCAGGGTACATTAAATATCGAGATCGTAGCATCTGAGGACTTGAAAAGCTATTTTCTGAGAGAATCAGTCCAATGTCTTCATTCCTTTGAAAACACACAGAAAGACTCCAGTTAGTTAGGAAGGTCACTCTTACACTGCACGTTCTGCTCCTCCCGACACTCCCCCGGCACACAGAGCCAGGATGTGTACATTTTTCTGTTGAGCCACATAGAAATGACCTGTGTGTACCAGGTTACTTCATCCTTGAAGACATCAGTGCGCACGTCCTAACAGCAAGGACCTGCTCTGACATCCCCACAGAACCTCGGGATCACAAACACATGTAAGGATTTAGCAGTATCACCTGGGGGCCTCTGTGGAGCACGGAATCTCAGGGTACACCCAGACTCAGACTTGGAAACTAGTTTGAGTGAGACCCTCAAGAGACTCATACATATAATAAAACTACAGAAGTACTAATTTAATATTTATCCACTTCCCAATTTTCCTTTTTTTGAAGAGGATAATCCTATCAAAGTTAGTACTGTCTCCTCTCATCTGGAACTGTTCCTTCACCTTGCTGTTTTTTCATGGCTCTGACACTTTGGGTTTTGTTGTTGGCTGTTGTTTTTTGAGGCAGGGTCTCATTTTGTAGTCCAAGCTGGCTTTGAACTGAACTTAGTAATCCTTCTGCTTCAGCCTCCCAAATGCTGGGATTACAAGCATGTGCCACCATACCTGGCTTCCTGTTTGCGGATTTAATTTTTCTGCTTGCAGTGGTGGGGACTGAACTCAGGATTTCATGTATGACAGGCAAGTGCTCCATCCCTGGCCTATATACCTAATACTTTAATTTTTGAATATAGCCAGGTGTGGCAGTACAGGCCTGCAATTTCAGTTCTTGGGAGGCTGAGGAAGGAGGATCACTGCAAATTCTAGTCTGACCTGGACTACATAGTACGTTCAAAGCCAGCCTGAATATATTGTGAGATCTTGTCTCAAAAAAAAAAGAGTAAAATATTTCTTGAATATTTTTGAAAAATTTTTTTACATAATTAAAAGTCAAAACTACATAAAATGCCATATATTGTTTAATACCTTAATTTTTTTTTAAAATCCTGAGTGCTGGGATTACAGGCATGCATTACTATCCCTGGCCATTTCTCACATTGTTTTGTTTTGAACTGCCTAGGGTCTCACTAGGCAGTTCAGGCTGACTTTGAATTTCCTATGTAATCCAGGCTGGCCTCCAACTCACTAGGGCAATCCTCTGCCTCAGGCTCCTTAGTAGTGGAATTACAGGCATGTACTACAACACCCAGCCATTTCGCTATTATTTTTTACTTTTTATTTTTTTGAGACAAGGTCTCACTGTGTAGTTCAGGCTGGCTTCAAACTCAGCGATCCTCCTGCTTCAGTCTACCAAGTGCTGGGATTACAGGTATGTGCCACCATGCCCAGCCCATTCCTCACATTTTAAGATAAGGAACACTGAACCAATCTTGACTTCCATTCTTCAATGTATGAGGATGTGAATGTATCAAAATGAAATGCGTCAATATATGGCTAGAAATACAGCTCAGTGAGACAAGTACCTGTCTGGCAAATGCAAGGTCCCGAGTTCCATTCCCAGTACAAAAAAGAAATGCCCTCAAATAATATAGAATACTGACCCATGGGGTCTTCTCCATGATTTTTATAGAGTGTCTATAAAGCCCTTCATAATCTAACTTTCGTAAATGCTCAGATTTCAGATATAGCAGAGACACCACATGGGCCACTATATTTAGAGCGTTATATTTAGAATGAAGCTGGTCCTGCAGTGTGGAATCTGAAGTATACCTGGTGACAATCCCGTTTTCTGCAAGAATGAAGGCTGCAGTGGGGTTGGCAGCCCTGATAAGGCCCTGCACCTGAACAAGGAGAGGGTGCCTTTGCTCCATGGTGAGACTCGTGAACACGACGTTATTCACCAGGCCTGTGGATAAAAGTAGAGAACAGGTCAGCTCCTGAGGCCTGACTGGGGCTGTTGGCTCACACAAGCGAAGGCCCTTGCTTCTTGCCTTGCTCATCCCTTCCAGCAGGCACCTGGTGTGGGCACACATGCACCTCCACTGATATACGCAGTGCCTAGGAACTGCCACATCTCAGTTTCTACCCTGCAGCTGCTCTACTTCCTAATCTTTTATTTTTGGTGACACTGGGGATTGAACTAGGGAGTCCCCTATGCAAGTTCTCTACTACTGCATAACAAAGGCTTACTAAGTGGCCCAGACTGGCCCTGAACTTGTGATATTCCAGCACCATCCTCTCCTGTAGCTGACTTTATAGGCCTACCATCAAGCTTAGCTCCTCTACTTTCTTAATTAAGGTTTCTGATTGTTAGTTGAGTTCCTGATCAAAGGAACCTGTGCCACATTTAACCATTTCAGAAACTGGTGCCACTTAACAGACCTTATTTTTCAGCTTTTCTGAGACAGTTTTGCTATCTAGTTTGGACTGACTTGAACTAATCTCAAACTCACAGCAATCCTCCTGTCTCAGCCTCCTGAGAACTGGGATTATAGACATGTACCACCAAGCCTGGCTCAACAGACATTTATATTACTTCCTTTTCTTTTTTGGGGGGGGGAGGGGTCTTTTTGAAACAGGGTCTCGCTATGCAGTTCAGGCTGATTTTGGGCTTACTTTGTAGGCCAGGATGGTCTTTTTTTTTTGCATTGGGGATCTGAGTTAGGACCCTGTGCTTGTCAGGCAGGCGCTTATGCTGCTAAGCTAAATCCCTGGCCCAATTTATTTATTTTTGAGACAGGGTATTGCTATGCAGCCCAGGCTGTCTCAGTGCCCCGAGTACTGAGATTACAGGCTTGGGCCATCACACCTGGCTAAACTCATGGTTTATATGAGCAACAGTAATTAACTTTGAAGGCAATATCCTGCCTGTGTTTGCACAGACATTAGTGATACTTCCTTCCTCCCACCAATAACACTTATGAAAAAGGTGCTCCAAACTTTAAAGACAGATTATAACTTTATAAACCCATGTGTTGTGCATTCCATTCAAGACTGGAAATAGGGATTGGGCCTGCTCACACCAGTGAGACGTGACAATGAAGGTTAAGCCCATACAAAGTGTTGTGCAATGTGACCAGAACCCAGGACCCAGGACTGGCAAGGGTCAGAGCACACCCCTGCAAGGTTGAGGACAGCACCTGCTTCCTCACTCCTTGGCCTGTTGGTCCTGTTTCTCTGGGACCTGAGTCCCACTCTCCTAGTACCTGTTCGTACCTCCCTTGTGCCATCTGCCTGGACAGCACTCGAAAGATTGCTAAGCAGTCAAAGGTGAGTTTCTCAGCAGTGCTCGCTTGACATCACGAGGTGACTGGGGAAAGGTACCCTGACTGCTCGGCTTCCCAAACTGGCACCGTGGATGCACCTGAGCCTTCACCTCCTCCACACTGGTGCTTATCAAGGGAAGCCTGGTGAGTATTCAAAAGTCTTGATTCATCCTTCACTACCGTGTGCCTGCATCAGACCACCATTCTCTTTCCCAGCTACTGCTTAGTGTCTACTTCCTTTGATGTAATTGTTTTTTCTTCTTTTTCAGTCAGGGTCTCACTATGTAGTCCAGGCTGGCCTTGAACTCACGATTCTCCACCTTCCAGATAGGTGCTGGATTATAGACGTGTGCCACAATGCCTGGCTCACAGTTCATTTTTTTTCACTGCAGCTGAAATAATCCTCCAAAGACATAAATGTGAGCATGTCATTTTTTACTTAGAGTATCTCAGCAGGTTCCAAGTACAGCAGTACTTGGTTAGTCTCCAGACCTTTTGCTGCTTGACTTGTCTACCACACAGTACTTCTCAGGGCCTTCACATGCTCTAGCTACCATCAGGCCTTTCAGGAACCACATTTTCCTTTCTTTGTGTTGGGCAATTTCTCCTTTTCAGGACAGACAACTTGCAGTTGGCATCTCTTTCAGAAGCGCTACTTATCCCTAAGATTGGGTTAGACTAGGCTCCTGAAATTTATTGATCCAGCAATGAAACAAATACTGTAAAAGATGTGCAACCTGACCCGATCATCTAAGCTGGGGGCACTTACACATCACAAGTTTTCCACTGAGAAGTCTGAGCAAACAGCCATCTCAAAAGGTTTCTAAGACTTAATGGTGTGTGGGGCTGGGGATTTAGCTCAGTGGCATAAGCACCTGCCTTGAAGCAGGCAGTTGTGAGTTTGATCCCTGGTACCGATAAAAAGGAAAAAGACAAAAAAAAAAGACTTAATGGTGTGCATGAGCATGTATGGGGGTACAAATTTTATAACACCCCAAAGCATATTTAGTAAAATGTTTCTTCTCTTTTCCTCGGTATCTTGAGCCCTAGTTCTCCCCCACCGTAATAACTACTAATCACTAGTATTTGGGCACACTTACTCACATCTCTATGTGTGTAAGACAGGCATATATGGATTCACCTTTGTCCCCTCCCTCCTTTTTGCACTATAGGGGCTGAACCCAGGGGTTTCACATTGAGTGACATCCTCCATCTCTCTGTCCTCCCTCCTGTCAGCCATCCATCCATCCATCTTGCTATGTCATTCAGGGCATCCTTGAATTCACTAGCCCAGGCTGGCCTAGAACTTGCAGCAATCATCCTGCTTCAATCTCAAAAGTGCTGGGACTACAGAGGTGTGTACCACCACACCCAGCTATTTTTTATTTTGAGACAGCATCTCACAAAGTCACTAAATTGCACAGGCTGCCTTCAACTTGTGAATATTCCGTCTCAGCCTTCCAGGTGCTGAGATTATAGACCTGCTCTGCCACATCCAGGTAGTAAAACTAACTTCAAGATCACATTTTCTTTTCTTTTCTTTCTTTCTTTTTCTTTTTCTCTTTTTGACAGGGTCTTGCTATGCAGTTCAGGCTGGCCTTGAGCTCACTTTGTAGCCCAGGCTAATCTCGAACTTGCCAACAATCCTCCTGCCTAAGCTTCCCGAGTGCTGGGATTATAGGCATGAGCCACCACGCCCAGCTAGGATCACATTTTCCTGCATGTTTCTCCCACACTCAAAATCTTTATTCTCCAGGTCCTTATACTGATTGCAGTGCCAGGGAATTCAATTCACTTCATTGCCTTGTTTCTCCTATTTGTTGGGGGGCAGTGCGGTACTAGGAATTGAACTCAGGACCTTGCACTTGCCAGGCAGACACTTATGCCACTGAGCTATATCCCCAGCCCATTTCTTAAATTTAAAAAGGTCTACTATGCACCCTTTTGCTCCAAACCTTTCCCACTACCAATGCAGCCTCCAGTGACACTGGAGATTCATCCTTCACTAATCCTGATTCATCTTTGTGCTCCAACTCCCATTTAGCAAGGCCACTGTGGCAGCATCTGGGGAACAGCAAGGCCAGCCTGGAGAGCCCAGCTCCAGAATCCTATGCCTGGGTGCAGCCACAGAAAGTCATGGGAGACTCTGGAGACCATGTAGGACCAAGTCAGGAGGCCATGCCTCAAATGCAGCACCACTGGCAAGCAAATCAGTTTCTGGAACACTCAACCTGTGCCAGGACAACAGACAAGGATGCTGGAACTGGTAAGTGGCCCAAGAGACTCCTGATGGTGGAAAGCAACAAGCGTGGTAGGTCTTGCAGTGAGGAGCCAGGAGAAGCTGACTGAAGAACATAAAGTTGCTGGGACTCTGGTATTATCTTCTCTTTTTAAAAATTTTTTAGGCTGGGGATTTAGTTCGACAGCATAAACGCCTGCCTGGCAAGTGTGAGGTTGTGAGTTTGATCCCCAGTACAAAAAAAAAAATTTTTTTTTTAGTTTTTATTTATTTTTCAATGATACCATCTCATTGTGTAGCCCATTATGTAGCCAATGTTGGCCTCAAACTCAATTTTCCTGCCTCAGCCTCCCAAGATTGTAGGTGTGTGTTGCCATGCCTGGCAGCTCTGGTTTGGAAAAAGAAATGGATGAGACAGATGAGCACAAATGTGGCCAGCTAAAAAGAGCACAGCCTGGCATGCCTAAGAAAAAGACTGAGCTCCAAGTCTCTGATGGACATATCCTGTCCCAATTCATTGCTGCTGGGCCGGGATACAGTGCAGCAGCACAAGTGCCTGCCTAGCATGCTCAAGGTCCTGAGTGTGATTCCTGGAACAAAAAAACACCAAGACATGCCGCTGTACAGGTACCATATGGACAAATGCTGTATGGTGGGCATTCAAGGTCAGTGACCAGGCATGGAAAAGGGACTGTGCTTCAGAGAGAAACAAGAAAGAAGATTATCTCCAGCATTCCTCAGGCCAGCTATGTAAACTGCCACCTGCCAAGAGGAAATGCCATCTGTGAGGCAGGCTGAGCTGAGATCTGGTGACAGGGTAAACGGGCTGCACAGGGCACTTTCACCTTCTCTGGGCTACCGTGTCCCTTGGTTAGGAGTGAAGGAGCAGACACCCACATTTGGCCTCACCACTTGAGGCTTGGGGTGAGCAGGCAGTCTAGCTGGGCCTGCTCCTAAGGCGAGAAGCACTTTCATGGTCAGACTGTCCCGGATTGGGCTAAAAGCTTCCAGCAACCCCAGAGAAAATGAAGGTCACTTCATTCACTCACTGAAACTTCTTTTGTTTTCTTCTTTTTTTTTCTGAGACAAGGTTTCACTATGTAGTTCTGGCTGCCCTCAAACTTGCAACCATTGCCTCAGTCGCCCGAGTGCTGGGATTACCAGTGTGCATCACTGTAGTTTCTAGAAACTTCTAAAAGTAGTTCATGGCTGTATAATATCTCCACTTTGCTTTTAGACCAGCATCTTAATGAGTCATGTATGCTATTTAAACACTGAAATTGCTTACTAGCCCATGAATTTTTGTGTGACACATACATCATCGTTGGTTATAACACGGTCCTTTTCTCACTGTAAAATAAGCCTTTGTGGTTAAAAGCAAGGAATCGGGGAATCTGACTCATCACTGGGAGCAAAGAGAAGCAATATGCCCCCTTAGAATATGATGTGTTTATTCACAACTAAGTGATAAATCCCACCTCCAAGTGAACCATTAAATCTCACCTCCTCTAAGTGAGGAAAAAGGAAACACTGGTTTCTTATTTCTCTTCTTCCCAGACCAACCATGCCCAGGTCTGGCTAGTTCATAGGATTCTGTGGGCCCAGGCATAAAAGGCACTGTTACTTCACGAGTCTCCTGGAGTTCAGGAAACAGCATGCAAGGCCTCAAGGTCATCTGCTCACATCCCCAAGCTTTATGCAAGCCCAGAATTAGACACACATTGCTCTTGACCGATGAGTTGGAAGGCAGTGTAATGAAATATGCCCACCAAGTGCCAGAGAGAGCTCAGCCTGTCTTGCCCTAAGCACACTGCTGGCCAACTTCTTAGAGCTTTCAATGGTAACAGCTGGTTACAACAATGGTGCCATAGGCTCACTGCCACTGGCTTAGGGGGACTCACACTAAGAGGGGCTTCTCTCTACGCCAGTTTGTGGACAATGCAGATAGGACGTTTCCCAAGTGTCCCCCGTCAGGGAAGTCTGACCATCACGCAAAGATGTAGAGGGGCACTGAGTGAAAGTGCCAAGGAGAAGGTGGCACCAATGTTTACAAGAATGAGGGAGGGCTTAGGACAGATCAGCAAGTCTTGACACAACTATGCCAAACACCATTATCAGGCATGCACTTTTTTGACTTTCCTCGATGATACCACTTCTCTGAGTCAACCTTTACCCCCCAAAACTCCCTCTACCTAGCCTAATGGCTCCTCCTAGCACAACAAACTTCTCTTCAGCAAACAGGAGGAGCACAAGTAATTCAGAAATCTTTATTCTCTCTCTCTCTCTTTTTTTTTGAGACAGAGTCTCACTGTGTAATTCAGGCTAGCTTTGAACTTATGGTGGTCTTCCTGCCTCAGCTTCCTGGGTGCAGGAATTACAGGTGCGTGTCACCAAGCTCAGCAAAATGAAAACATTTTCCTCTAGCTACCATCCTTTTTTCATAGCCCCAGACATTCTAATACATGTATCATTCACACTTGCTGGTTTCTAGTTCTTCACTGGCCGGCTGTTACTCCAAATGGATTTGGCTTCAGCACTACACTGAAATACTCTTGTGGAGGTCACTAGTGTCCTTCACATTTGCTAAGTCAGTGGGCTTTTTTCTCTTTTCTCCTTGAGGTCTCTGCAACATCAAACCTGACTGATCTTTCACTTTCCTTATGTCTGAAGCAATGCTTTGTCATTCTTCTTGGTGTTCTGGACTTCCCACTTCTCTCCACATCCCTGTCCTTCTATCTTTTTAATTCTACATCTGGAAACTGGCTAACTATAGTCCATGCCCTTGGCTTTGACCAAGACTTCCAAACGTCTAACCTAGGAATAAACAGCTTTCCTTGGTTTATCATAGACCTATTTTCTCTTGTGCTTTCTATTCAAGGACAGGTACTGCCAACCTTTCTAGTCTTCAAAGTTGGACACTTAGGAGTCATCCTAGGTACCTCTCTTTTCAACTCATGCCTCACATCTAGTCTGCCACCAGAGCCTACTGATCCAACTTCCACAAAATCTCCTTAATCTACCTGGGTGACACTGTGGACAGGCCCAGTAACCTCCATTCCTCCCTGCTTCTGAGGTGTGGGGTATGCAGATTAAAAGGAGTCTCTAAAAGCTACTACCTGGGATAGCAGCCCAATATACACATTTCTCCCCTTAGGACTCACCTTCTGCCCTCGTCAGCACTTAGCTTAGCTGTTTCTCAAGACAACACCACCGGTATGCTGCTGTCTCCGCTCCCTGCAGACTAGCAATGAGATCAACAGGACACAACTGTGCTGAGGACAACAAGTTGTTTTCTTGTTCTTCCATCAGATTTTTGCTTGCTGGGCTACCTCAGAAAGCCCAGCCTTCAGGCCTAGCTACTGTAAACAATGGGCATTTCATCACCACTGCAGGGAACTTGCAATTTATTCTGGATCTCCAGACACCACAGATTATATGACTAGAAAGACCAGCTTCCAGGGTTAGGAGGCAGGAAGACAATGGAAGGTTTAACACAACCTGCAGGATGGAGGATTTTTCCAATGTTTTCAAGGAGGTGTGGAAAATTCCAGTGTGTAGAAGGGGTGGGTATCAAGGAACATAGGCCCTAATGGGCCAAACTCCACACTCTTGGGACAGATGTCTATCAAAAGCTTGCAGATAGGACAAATGAGCTTGCTAGGAGGACAGGAATACCTACTTAGCTCACTGATTATTGGCTACAAGGCCAGAGCAAACCTGAGCTCAGTAGTGATACTGCTGTAGCAGTTTATTGCCATTAAAAGATAAGCTCTTGGAAGAAATCTGTCTATCAAATATGAGAAAAGAAACAGTATGCCAAAGTTTTCCCTGGACCAATTTTGTTTACTTTAGATTTCAGAACAGTGGCAACACAGAGAGGTTGAATGCATCTGAGTAGAATGTGAAAGGCATGCAGGCAGGAAGTAAAGCATATTGCGTACCTTGTGAACACTGGTCAAGACATTTCGGGAAGAGGAATCTGGTGGAGTGGGAGGAGAAAAGAGAAATACGTTAAAGCCACTCATTTCAGAATTGGCACTATTTCCCACAAAAATGCAACTCAGTGTGAAAGCCCAAGGTTCAGTCCAGTAATACATTTGGCTAGTAACTTTATTTTTGGTCATAGTTGCCATAATTGTTACTCTAACCCTCATGTGTATCATGAGCTAAGCAATAGAGCATTAGTAAATCACTATAGTACTTTATGGAAAAAATTCACAAGTAATTTGTCATTAACATCTAAAACATGAGCTAAAAATAAAGTAAAACACAAGCACACTACTAAATTTGATTGAGTGACTGATTTTGGTTTTTTTGAGGTAGGGTCTCACTACGCAGTTCACGCTGGCTTTGAACTCACTATGTAGCTCCGGCTGGCCTCAAACTTACGTGATCCTCTTGCTCTAGCCTCCTGAGTACTGACTGGAATTGTATACATGTGCCACTATACTTGGCTACTAACTTTGACTTATTGAATTAATAGTTTTGATCTCTCAATTTAAAAAATGAGGAAATACATGCACTCATACTTCTGACTAGTCATCTTCATTCTATTATTTATATTTTTGCAACCAATACACCTCATTTACGTAATTTTAGCCATATTTCTTTTTTTTTTTTTCCAAATCCATTTTATTCAAACATAAAAAGAAAAAAATCAAAGGAGAAAAAAACTGCAATACAATTTCAAAGCACATCTGAGGGGGGTAAATAATGGTACATACACTGCGCACTGTCATTCCCAAATCATTCACCCAGAGCACAACACATTTGTTTCCAATTATCCAGACAACAGCAGTACAAATCTTTCTCTTTAGTGAGCTTAGAGAATTTAGTAGTATAATTATCTTAACTATTATATATATATATATATATACACACACACACACACACGCATATGCATTTGCTTTTTCAGCTTGTCACACTAATGAAACAATATGATGTTTACATGTGTGTCTTATTTCACTAATGAGTATATTCTCATCCATTTACCTATTAAGTGTCCAGTTTATCATTGCTTATAGCTGAGTGGCACTCCATTGTATAAAAATACCACATCTTTTTTATCTAACCCTCAATCGATGGGCATTTAGGTTGTTTCCAAGATCCCGCTATTATAAACTGTGCTGCTATAAACATAGGAGCACATATATCACTGTGGTATGATGTTTTTAATTCTTTTGGGAAGATACCCAGAAGGAGAATAGCTGGTTCGAATGGGACCTCCAATCCCAATTTTTTGAGGAATCTCTACACTTATTCCCACAGTGGTTGCAGCAGTCTATACTCCCAGCAACAGTGGACAAGGGTTTCTTTTTCCTCACAGCATCTCCAGCATTTGTTATTGCTTGATTTTTGCTAATAACCATTCTTTCTGGGGTGAGGTGGAATCTCAGTGTTGTTTTAATTTGCCTCTCTCACGTGACCAGTGATGTTGAACATTTTTTTTTTTTGTGGTACTGGGGGTCAAACTTATGACCTCACACTTGCCAGGCAGGCGCTTATGCCACTGAGCTAAATCCCCAGCCCCTAATGTTGAACATTTTTTACGAATTTATTTGCTGTTTGTATTTCTTCATTGAGAAGTGTGCATTCACCTCAGATTCCTAATTTTGGATTGAGTCTTTAAATCTGGGAAGATTATTTTGAGTTCTTCTATGTTCTTGATAGTAATCCGTTGTCTGAGGAACAGCTGGCAAATATTTTCTCCCACATTGTGGGCTGTCTCTTCACCCTGCTGATGATTTTTCTTGCTGTGCAAAGCTTTTTAGTAGGGTGAGATCCCAGTTGATTCTTTGCATAGTTCCTGTGCAATCTGGGTTTTGTTTATAAATTCTTTGCCTACACCAATGTCTTTTAAGAGTTTTACCTTGGGACTGGGGATTTAGCTCAGCGGCATAAGCGCCTGCCTTGCAAGCAGGCAGTCGTGAGTTCGACTCCTGGTACTGATAAAAATGAAAACGACAAAAAAAAAACAAAAAGAAAAAAAAAAGAGTTTTACCTACTCTGTCTCCCAAAAGATTTAATGTTTCATTTTAATATTAAGATCTTTAATCCATTCTGATTTTAGCTTAGTACATGGTGAAAGATATAGGCCCAGTTTTAATCTTTGGCATGAGTAGAGCCTATTTTTCCAGACCATTTATTAAAGAGGCTGTCTTTCTTCCAGTGAATGTGTTTGGCTCCCTTGTCAAAGATAAGGTGGCTGGAGTTGTTTTTGCATCTTCTAATCTGATTTACTGATCTTTGGGTTTGTTTAATTTGTTTTTATCACAGTGGCTTTATAAGTACAGTTTCAAGTCTAGAATTGTGATGGCTTCTTTCTTGTCTTTGTTGCCTAGGATTGCCTTTGCTATTCTAGGTCTCCTCTAGTTCCAGATGAATTTTAGGAATGTTTTCTCTAATTCTGTGAGATATGCTATTGGAATTTTGATTGGGACTGCACTAAATCTGTATAACAGTTTTGGAAGTATGGCCATTTTTGCTATATTGGGTCTTCCTACCTAAGAGCATGAAGTATCTCTCCAATTTCTAATACCCTCTTCAACCTCCTTTTTTCAGAGTACTGTATTTTCAACATAGAGGTCTTTTAAATCCTTGCCAGATTGATTCCTAGGTATTTCATTTTTTTGGACGCTATTGTAAAATGAATGGGTGCTGGACTTTGTCAAAAGCTTTTCCTGTATCTATTGAGATGATCATATTATTTTTGTCTGTTAATACAGTGTATTACATTATGGATTTACATATGTTGAGTCATCTTTGCATCCCTGGGATGAATCCCACTTGATCATGGTGTACAGTCTTCTTGATGATTTGCTGCAGTCTGTTTGCCAGTATCTTATTGAGGATTTCCAGCTCAATGTTCATTAGGGAGATTGGCCTTTAGCTATATTTCTTTAATTAAATAAATTATATACTTGTCTTCAGTCCTTTTTAGATCTTACTTAAAAGATCTTTTTTCTTTTTTTAAAACTGGGAATCTAACTCAGGACTTTGTGCCTGCCAGGCTGGCACTTGTGCCACTGAGCTGTATCTCCACCCTTTATTTAAAACATCTTGCCAGGTGTGGAGGCAACACCAGGAGCAGTGCCAGCACTCAGGAGACAGAGGCAAGAGGATCACCATGAGTTTGGGCCAGCCTGGACTACATAGTGAGTTCAAGACCGCCTGAAACTATATACTGAGACCCTGTTTCAAAAAAAGAAAAAAAAAAATCGTTAGCTGTGCACAGTGGCACATGTGTCATCTCATCATAGTACTAGGGAGGCAGAAGCAGGAGAACTGCCATGAGTTTGAGGCCAGTCTGAATTACACCACCAACCAAACACACACCAACCAAACAAACCAAGCAAAAAAATACTTGAGGACACATAGTACAGTTGGAGTAGCCATGTATTCAAAAGATGTCTTCTCTTTCCCTCTCCTCCTTTCTGTCTCCCTTCCTTCTTTTTTCCTCTCCCCTTTTCTCTCCTTTCCTTTCTCTGTCTTTCTTTTTTCTCTTTCTCTCTTGGCATTCAACCCATGCCTTTGCATGGATGCCTGAAAAGTTCTTTACTGCTGATCTACAATCTTATGACCACTTACTACATACTAATCACTAAACAGAAATGGTTCTTAATTGGGCATGATGGTACATGCCTGTAATCCCAGCATTCTGGGAAACTGAGGCAGGAGGATGGCAAGTTTGAGCTGAGCCTAGGAAACTCAGTGTCTTAGTAGGACCCTGTCTCAGAGTACAATGGAACACTTAGTACACACAAGCTACATTGTTAAAGTCACATATGCCTAAAGATGTGGGCCTTGCCGGACAGGGAGCAAGTTCCTGCGCTGAGTGTACTTGAACACAGCTCCCTGTGAGCTGGAGTTGGTTGGAAGCACCTACCTATGTTCCATGTAGCAGCTTAGGGGATCCACGCATACCGTGATGGCACCAATGGTGAAGGAAGACTTGACATTTGCGTCTGGGTGAGTCTGCAGGGCCTGTACAACATCAATCACATCGGTGTAGCTGAGGAGGAGAGACAGTGATTAATGTTCTTCCTGGGGCTGCAATGTGGGGAAAGAGGTGTGCTGAGTGGTCAAGTGAGCAAGGGAAGAAGGAAGATCAGGAGGAGGAAGAGCCAGCAATTATGTGGGTGGGGTTTTTTTTTTCCTTCCTTCCTTCAACAGAAATCAATTAAAAAAATTTTTTTTTGTCTTTTTGAGAGTTTCACTCTGCAGTTCAGGCTGGCCTCAAACTCCCAGCAATTCTCTTGCTTTAACTTCCCCAGTGCTGGGATTACAGGCCTGCACCACTATGCCCAGCAATTTATCTATCTTTGGGACACGGCCTCGACATGTAGTAGTTCAGGTTGGCCTTAAGACTGCTGTATAGTCTAGTGTAGCCTTGAACTTGTAATCCTCCTGTCTCAGTCTCCTGACTGCTGGGATCACAGGTATATATCACCAAGCCTGGCTCATGTGATTGTTTTTTTTTCGTGTGATTTTGATCCTGGGGTCCAAAAAGTACTTCTGCATTTTCAAGTTCTGTTAGTTCTCCAAACTGCTTGAGCATATACAATAGCCAGCCCAACTCTCCAGGTAGAAGGAAGCCAGCAGGTGAGCCTGGGGCTGAGGATGGGACCTAGTATCCCAGCTTGATTTCTAACCATCATGCTATTGGTGTCTATTTTTCTTCACAGCTCTTTTTTCTCCTTCCTACCTTCTTGCAGTCCCAGAGCTACACAAGTCAACAAACAACATCAGCACTACTCACATTCCTATCTTCTGCCTGCAGCTCCAGACTTACAGAGCAATTTCGGTATCTCCACTTAGAACCTAACATTTTGGGGCTGGGGATTTAGCTCAGCAGCATAAGCACCTGCCTTGCAAGCAGGCAGTCGTGAGTTCGATCCCTGGTACCAATAAAAAACGAAAAAGACAAAAAAAAAAAAAAAACCTAACATGTTAGCCAGGTGTGGTGGCTCACACCTGTAATCCCAGCACTCGGGAGGCTGAGGCAGAAGGATCATTGTGAGTTCGAGACTAGCCTGGGCTACAAAGTGAGTTCAAGGCCAACCTGAACTGCATAGGGAGACCCTGTCTCAAAAAATACACACAAAAAAACAACCTAACATGTTCACAATCAGATGCCCACAAGCCTGTTCCTTCTATAGCCTTGTTGACAACTCTTTTTCAGAATTGTCTAAAAGTTTTGTTTGGGGTCTTCATTGACTTCACTTTTTTCTGTCTTCAACATGTAACTAGATATAAACTTTTGTTGGAAGGGAAAAAAAAAGAAAAAAAAAACCATGTAACTAGAAAGAATGTTACTCACACTCCCTCAACTACTGCTAGGTCCAAACTGCAACCATTTTTTGCCTAGAGCACTCCGACAGCCTCCCAACTGGGCCTCCTACTTCTGTCTTTTCTAATCTGTCAATGTAGAAGGCACAGGGATACAACAAACTCTCAGTCAGATCATCACTGCTCCACTCAAACTCTCCAGCAACGTCTACCTCAGTATGAAAGGCAAAGCTCTTACAATGGGCTAGGCAGCCCTCAGGATATGACTCCCACAAGCAGGGAACAATTTCATCTACCATCCTGTTCTTTCCCCTAATCCACCTACTTTGGTCTCTTGGGTCTTCCCTGAACATGCCAGGCATACTTTTTTCCCCCCCAGTTGAGACAGACTCACCATGTAGTTCAGCCTGGCCTTGAACTTACTAGATAGCCCAGGCCAATCTTAAACTCAGCACAGATCTTTCTTCCTCAGCCTCCTGAGTGCTGGAATTATAGGCATGTACCACTATGCCTGGCAACTTCTACTTTTGTACTCTGTCCCCTCTGGAAAATTCTTTTTTTCTAGTATCTGTATGGTTTCTATCTATCTCCCTTCTGGTCTTTGGTCAAGTGACATTTTTGGGACACTTTTTGTGGTGAACCCCAGGCCTATCACAGAGCTACATCAAGTGGCAGCTTATGAGAGACACATTCTCTGACCTCCAATAGTCTAAGCGATCTGACAGCTCTTCATCCCTGCCTCCTCCCTGCAATCTGGCTCCAAAGAACTGATCATCAGCTACACATACTTCTTTTTTTTCTTTTATCTTGTGTGTCTTTTGCAAGCTGTTGTCTTTTCTCGTTTGTTTTATTATCTCCACAATATGAATGTGAGGTAGTTGCTGAGTGTTATGTCTCTGGGATCTTAAGTAGGGCAGATATTCAATCTCTGGCAGACCCTTAGCTGCTCTGAGCGGAGACATGACAGCTTCACCTTGTAGAAGAGGACAGTGTTCTTACTAACCACCCTATCACCAAAAGGCCTAGTTCTACGAGGGGAAGTCAAATTTCAAGTGCAGCCGTGCAGAAGGGAAGGGCCTGAGTCTGTCCAGGACCATGGAGGGCAGCAGGGGTCTCTGTGAGAGTTCTAGTTTCCTGAGCCACTCCCCAAATCCCTACAAATTATCTGTAGCAAGGCCCTTGGCTTTACCCCAGACTACAATGGCCCCTGTCCTCTTCCCAGCTCTGGCTTCAATCCTTCTAACCAGCAGAGCTCAAGTAGCAGGAAGCACTCCCTTACAAGGGCCTGGTGCACAGGGAACTTTTCTTCTTAGTGTGGCCTGTGTGTGTGGCCATGTGGGGCTCTTTTCATAGCACAACCTGGGTGGGTACGGGAAGCCCTGAGAGCTGCAGGGGCAGCCAGGCCTCACAGTAGAACACCTGCTAAGTAAGACCAATGCTTGCACACTGTTCCAAAGCTCTTTGTGGGCATTTTTAACAGATATAACTGGCATCCTTAAATTTCCCAAGCTTGATGCTTAGCACTAACTTTTTCACTCTTCTAAAAGTGGCTGGTGGCCTTTTCTTTTACAAGTTCTATAAGCAGTAGAGACTCATTAATTGCAAGGATTTCAGTCATTTTAGTGCAACAGGATTTCCTTTAGAGAGTGTGACTAGGAATTCCCTGGTTTTCAGAACCTTCAGTTTGCCTTCACTGATTTCAATGGCAAAGGCTGGAGAGAAAACTAGTCCAACGCTCCTTTGTGAGCTCCATGCATCTGGAGACTGCTCCAAAGCAGAAGGCCCCTTATGCTCCTCATCCAGGACCTCAGTTCACTGCCTCCCACAGCTCTCCTAATCATCCTGGGCATGATCTCCAGATGAAGGAGGAGCCCTAGCTGTAGAAGGAAGCGCTGGCTCATACCATAGAGTTTGGACCAGATTTCTTCTGCTAAAGTGACCCAAAAGTGTATGATGAAAGTAAAAAACTGGCTCCTTGTTTGCTTCTTAGGTCTTTCTTTTTTTGGTACCAGGGATTGAACTCATGACCTTGCGCTTGCCAGGCAGGTGCTTATACCACTAGAGCTAAACTCTCGGCTCCTTGTTTGCTTCTGTCTTGTCACTATTATTTTTATTAGAGATAACACAGCTGAGTGTGGTGGTATACTGTAATCCAGCCTCCAAGACAGGAGCATCATCACCAGTTTAAAGCCAGCCTTGGCTACAGAACGAGTTTACATTACATAGTGCCACTTTAAATTACATAGTGAGGGGGGCCGGGGATTTAGCTCAGCGGCATAAGCACCTGCCTTGCAAGCAGGCGGTCATGAGTTCGATCCCCGGTACCGATAAAAAGTTAAAGGGGAAAAAAAAAAAAAAAGGTAAAAAAAATTATATACTGAGACCCTGTCTCCAAAAAAATAAATAAATAAATTAATAAATACAAATTATAATACAAGTCACTGTGGTGATACATGCCTGTTTTGTTGTGTTAGGTTCTGTTTGATTTTTTTAATATGGAGAATTAAACCCAAGGCCAAGCCTTTTTATTATTTTTTAAGATACAGTCTCACAAAGTTGCGCAGGTTGAGTTCTAACATTTGATCGTCCTGCCTCAGCCTCCCAAGTGGGATTACAGGTGTGCCACCATGCCCAACTGTTTTATGCTACAATGTGACTGGTCATGTTTTACATTAATTTTTTACTTTGAGAGATACTTTGTTTTTAATATAGATGATTTGAAATAATGTCTATACAATATTTCCTATCTAAATACAGCCTTCAAATACCTTAAAATTGATTTTTTTTAAAGTTCAGGTTTCATGATTTCATTTATACTGCATTTGTCTATTATACTGTATACAATCTGTCATGATTTGTGTCTAGATGCACCTCCAAAGTCTCATGCAGTCACAGGTGGTGCTTTTCAGAGTGTGCAGTGCTGGGATTACTAAATTAGTCCACTGACTGAGTTGGCTCAGGTCTGGGAGTGGGTAACAGGAAAGCCCACCCTGGGTGAGTGCTATCCACCCTAAAGGCATGTAGCTTAGATAAAATATAAGCGACTGAAAGGGAGCTGCTGTGTGGCTTGCTGCCTTCTGCCTGCCATGAATGGTTTATCTTCTGCAATGCTCTTCGGCCATGCCACCTGCCTTGCAGCCAGTTGATTATGGACTGAAACCTCTACAAACTGTGAAATAAACCTTTCTTTCTTTGACTTTGGGTGTTGGGTGTTGGTATTTTGTTTCAGCAATGAGAAAACTTAATTAGACACAATTTTATCATTATAGGTTCCATCTTCACCACTACAATCAAGATGCTAAATAGTTCCAAGACATAAAGATCTTTTATGTTGTTCTTTAATAGCCACATCTACTTTTTTCACTTTCCTCCTGTCTCACCCCAGTTTTAAGAGTCTGAACAGATTAATGAGCTCCTGTCTCAAAACAACAAGGGCTGGGGATTTAGCTCATTGGCATAAGCATCTGCCTTGCAAATGTGCAGTTGTGAGTTCGATTCCCGGTACCAAAAAACAAAAACAAAAACAAAAAAACAACAGCAAAACCAAAAGATTGAATTAGCTTATTTTAAACTACCCTCCTCACCATTTTTATTTATTTATTTATTTATTTGAGACAGGGTCTTATATGCAGTTCAGGCTAACCTCGAACTCACTTGGTAACCATAACCAAAGTTGGCCTCTAATAATTCACACCAGTCCTCCTGCCTCGGCCTCTTGAATGCTGGAATTACAGGCATGAGATACTATACCCAGATGTTTGTTTTTTTGAGATAGGCCTTACTATGTAGTTCAAATTAGCCTTAAACTCACTACGTATGCCTGCCCAGGTAAAGTCTGGGCTGTTCTCAAACTTGTGGCTATCCTACCTCAGCCTCCCAAGTGCTGGGATTACAGATGTGCACCATCACACCTGGCTCTCATCTCTTAAGATTTTCAGGCAGGGTCCCTCAAAGTCATTCAATTGCCCAGCATGGGCTCAAACTTGATTGTCCTGCCTCAGCTCCCCAGTTATGGGATTACAGGTGTATGCCATACTCAGCTATTAATTCAATTTTTATTTTATTTATTTATTTTTGATACAGAGTCTCACTATGTAGTTCGGCCTGGTCATGAACTCAATACTCCTGCCTTATCCTCCCCAGTGATGGGATTATAGGCCTGCATCACTATGGCCAGTCATTATTTATTTATTTAGGTACTGAAGTTGAACTCGAGACCTTGTATTTGCCAGGCAGGTGTTTTGTCACTGAGCTACATTCCTGGCCCACCAGGCCATTTCTGACTCCATTTTAATAACAGCTTTATTTGGTGTCAAAGTTTAATATCACTGCATCCACTACAGCGCTACACTAAATTAAATGTGACCAGAAAACTCTTGCCCTATATCACAGGTTTTGCTCTATAAAATGCTAAAAATGAAAATCTAATAGCTGGATGTGGTGGCACATATTTAAATCCCAGCAGAAAGGCAAAGGTAGAAGGTTCAAGGCCAGCCTGGGCTACATAGTGAATGCAAGGCCAGCCTGAATTATATATCAAAACCCTGTCTCAAAAAACCAGAGGGAAAAAAACAAAAGGAAGAAAATACAAATTATATAAGAAATAAAATTCTCATGATCAAAATATGTCACATGGTTACTCCTTATATAAAACACATATACCCAGGGAAGACTACGTAAACATTTGGTTGTATGTGCATGAGGTGTCTTGGATTTCACCATATATGCTTTCTGATCTTTTGGAATTCCAAATCATGTAAATGTATTGCCTATTAAATGAAAATTATTAACACACCCATATACACACACACAAAGCAAAAAACAAAATATGTCACATGCATGTATGGAAATATCACATGAAACCCAATGTTTTGTGAAATTAAGAGGCATTAATAAAAATATATTGTATTAAAGAAATAAAATCAATTGGCGAAGCCTCCTGGATCTTCCTTTGCCAGCAGCCTCAATATCAGGCATGTGGGGAAATGTGCTGCAAGGAGATGGACATCCTACAAAGTTGGCTGCTACATGTTCCCTGCTGGTTCAGCCAAGAAGGAAGCATCTTAGTAAGAGGCACAACAATTAGGTAGCATTCTGACTTGAGTCCTCCAGGAAATTATGGGGGCCACTCATGTCCTGGGGCTGTGACTGGCCAGAGGCTGGGTCTATACTGCAAGAATGGGCTGCCCATACACTACCATTGCAGTCTAGAAGCAGCTAGGACAGCTCCCCCTTGGAGATTCATAAAGTTAGAGAAAAGTCTACAATGCTTTCTGAAATGGTAAAGGACAGAAATGACCTTGGCTGCACATTGGGAAACTGCCAGTTCCCCTCCAGAGCCACATTCCTAGTGACTCTCCAATCTGGTAAGTCAGGGGGAGAGGTGCTGGGGTGCCTGATCCATTCCTTTGACCAATGTAAGCAATGGAAAACCAGAAGAAAATGCATGGTTTCAAACCCAGACTCTTCCTTTGTGGCTTCCATGACTGGGCCCGGAAGTAACACAAGAGGGTTGACAAGGGACAATAGTGGTGAGTGTGACAACAGGGTTTGATGGTGTTTGATGGCCCTGAGGATGCCGGGTCCCACCTGCCACCCCTCCCCCACCACCCGAGCTGCCTCCAATTCCTATCATCACAGTCAGGAGCTCAAACAGAGCTTTGGATCTGGGCCTATTCTTTACTGGAAATAACTAGCCTATTGCAAACACTAAGTATTATGAGCACAAGAAATGCAGCACAACACAAAAGCACTTTGTGAGAGTAGCCAAAGGCTTTTTTATTACTAACCATAATGACACTACTGAAAAGCACAGCCCATGTTTTCCTGACCTGGCATGTTCCCCTCTGGGCCCAGGTGATGGGACTTTGAGGGGCTTCTCCTGGAGAACCTAATGACAGATCAAGGGAAGCTCCTCTCCTCCAACTGACCAGGTGTGCTCTTTACTGGAAGCCCCAGGAAGCCCCTGAACTACCCATCCACGGGATGGGGGATGGGTCGGAGACAGCAGAGAATGGGCACCACCTGTGCACTTCTACAGACATGAAAGATGAGACTCCCTTATTGAGATGGTGAAAGAACAGGTTTTGGGGTCACTGTTCTAAGAATTATCAAAGAACCTTTCCCAGATTCCCTAACTCACTGTTTCTTGGGGATGTTACAAAGTTCAAGTCAAGCTTCAACTTTGTGTGTAGCTATGTCCACCACCCTAGGCCACGGTATGGCAACAGAGTTCTTGGTGGCTCAAGGCCTGTCTGTGTAGCACAGACACTGTGTGAGCACATGTGGAGTTTGTTCTGCGCTCCAGGTTTGCCATATATGAACTAACAATATCAGTAAGCTCACCAGCCCAACTAGATTGTCCTCAGAAGATTTCCAGTGCTCACCCTTGTAACACCACCAACAGTCTGGTCTTCTTGCGGATGTAGGCTGACTGGCGGACAGAACGGTTCTGTTGGGCCTCCAGGGCGCTGGAAAGGTATTTCTGGAAGTGCGCAGCATGAAAACATTCAGAGCTATCCATGATTTGGCGGTACACCATCCACCTGGAAAAAGCAAAGCTAATCTCTGCATGAGGACCACTTGATGGCTTGGCCCTGAAAGCTCAGCCATGAATTCAAATGTGGAACAGTACTTGCAAAGACATTCTGCCAACTAAATTCACACAAGGAGAAAGCAACTGAAGAGGGCAGCAGCAGAGCTGGGAACCCTGTATTATATAAAACCACCACCAGAGACTTCTGACAGGTAACCCTGTGCCACAGGGTAAAAGGACATGTAAGCACATGACCAACAACCTCAGAGGTGAGAACGACTCCTTGACCAGGCAGTGATTTCCTGAAAGGCTATGTAATAAAATGGTGCTCAGTAAAACTCTTACTAAGAATAAGAAATGGGCAGGGTAAAGAGTTCAGAAAGTGTGTAGAATAAAAGGCCTACACATGAAAAAATAGTTAGCCATTGAATACTTATTAAGGGAAGCCCAATATTTTCCAAATGTTTCTCCAGAACTCTCCTCCCCATCTTCTCATCTCTCCAGGCAATTTCAATCTTCTCAATTCTTCTATAGCCTCTTGCAGGATATTTATTTTGGAGTACCCTAGCTACATATTAGAGGTCTGGTTCAGTCAGCAAGGGTTGATTAGTAATCTGCCAGCCAGGAGAAGTAACGGATGAGTGATTTCCCCCTGGTCAGCACGGCCTTGCTGCACCTGGACGCATACAACCCGTCTGAGCTTGCTTCCAGGTGTTTACAATCTTCATGGCTTTGACCCTGCCTGCTGACCAGCACACTCCCAGGTCTTTGCACTTGCACATCCTGCTACTTCAATGCCATAGCACAGATAGCACATGGTTAATTCCCTTATCTCTTCAGGTCTTTGCTCAACAATGTCACCTCTTCAGTGAAGTCTTCTCTGACTGTCTGATTTAAATCTGGAATCCCATTCCCAGCCTGCATTTCCTTTTATTTTTGAGATGGGGTCTGACTGTGTAGTTCAGGCTGGCCTTGAACTCATTAACTCATAGTAATCCCCTGCCTCACCTCTTGAGTGCTTAGATTACAGGTGTGCACCACCTTATGTGCTATAGCCTGTATTTCCTATACACTTCTCTGCTTTATTTTCTCCATGCACTTCCCAAAGCAAAATGTCAGCAAAGATGAAAGCAAAGATATTCTGGTCTGTTTGGCTCATCAGTGAATTCCCTCAAAGTCAGAGCAATGCCTGGCATATAATAGCACTCAGCACAGTGTATTAAATGACTGGATGATGAAAAACTTCTGAGGGCTAGTGCATGTTTAAAGTCTCCTCATGCTTAGCCAGGTCTAGGCACAAAACCCCTTTTCCCAAAGCAAAGGCAGCAACCATACTAACCTGCCATATTCCTTATGCAGAGTGACCAGAAAAGCACAGAGCTCACTGGCATGACAGCCTGGGAGTCCGGTTATAATGCTGATAATTACCTGCATGAAAGAGGTCACATGGGTTTACAATCCAAGTGAGAGGCAGCACTGTGTAAGAGAAGCAACTGCCTTATGGAGTGAGGCTCTGTGGGTCTGAACCTAAGCATCATCATTCACCAGCACTGTGACCTTGGACCACTGACAAAACCTGCCTTGTACAGTGGGAGTAAGAACCACAGAGTAAACTTACATGAGTGCTTCTAAGAGTGCCTGGCCCAGAGCAAATACCACATGAAATGCAGCCTTATTTTTCACTTCAGTGGAGCAGGCTGTGACACACTAGTTAAAACAATGTGTTAGGGAGTCTGCCTACTTGAGTTCATAGAGCTCTTTTATAAAGCAGACACTTGAGGATATTGTGACTTCTTTCCAATAGAACACTCCTGAGAAAAATACTGGGCAGAAAGGAGGTCTGGGCCAAAATTGGCTTAGGCTATGCTGCTGTGCGAGCAGGGTGAGGACAGTAGCTGCACTGGGATGCTTCTGCCTTGCTGGCTGTGCCTTCTGAGTGACACGGCCTGGGCTGAGTTGAAACTCCCTGGGTGTGGGAAGAAAAGCCTGATTCTTGAGAAGAGAAGCCACCTGCACAGTCCTAACTCATTACAGCCCTAGTATACGTTTTATCTCATAATACACAGGACTCACTGAGGCAGGGCCAGTCACAGGAACTTACACCAAACTAAGCCTGGGGGCACTCATCAGCAACACTGGCTCCCGCTTCTGCTCATCCTCTGAGCAGGGCCTCTGTACCACATGTCTCTCTGCCCCAAGGCAGTTCTCCATGTCACTGACATTCTGTTTACACTGCTTTTATCCTGCTGTCTCCACCTTGGTTCCTGTTCTTCAATGCCCAGGTCTCAGCCTTAAATCACTATACACATGTGTACAGCCAGGTGCAGGGCCTTCTTATGGCCAATCCTAAAGCACCTTTAAAATAAAATATAGTAAGTTTGCATTTTCAAGCTTTTTACACATTCATATGAGGAAAAAAATGGTATTTGAGTGCACCTCTTTTCTTTTGCAGCTAAATGTCTTCTAGATTTAGAAATAAACGCCCTCTTTGACTCTGTTATGACACAGGTCTCCTAAAGAAATGATGGGAGGGAAGCATGAGATAGGTAAAATTCAATCTGGAAGCCAAGTGTGGTAGTGTGTATCTATAATCCCAGGACTCTGGAAGGCTGAGGCAAGAGTGTTACAGGTTTGAGCTCAATCGAGGAAACTTACTTAGACCTTGTCTTAAAATAAGAAAGAAGCCAGGGATGTAACTCGGTGTATGGACCCTGGGTTCAATATCCAGGCCCCCCTCAAAATTACTTTGAGAAGGATATTCATTATTCTAGCCAGGCTGCAATAACATTAGTAAGCACAATGTGCCATTCACTGCTAGCTATGGTAAATCATAGTCACAACCAGAAAGAGCTGTCAGTGTGAGGGCACTGAGGAAGAGTTTAAGAGATCTGGAGAAGAAAGGGGAGGGTATGGCAAAATGCCAAGGTTTAACACTGTCACAGGGCTCGGTCTTACACAGTCATTGTATAGAGTGGGTTCTGTGTGTTGCATTACATCAGTATCCAAGGAGGTGGAGAGACCTATAAAAGGGACTCCACCTAAGCTCCTTTTGTTAACTGACACAAAAGATCTGAGATCCAGGCTCTGAAGATTATCCTTCTGTGAGTTCCCAGCATATGTGGTGAGCTCTTTTACCTTGTCATTCTCTACTCTGTGAGAAGGGCTGACTTCAGCTTGCTGCAGCACGAAAGGGAGATGGGTCCGCATCACAGGTTCCCGACTCATGCTGCTGAAAGCAAAATGCTGGCGAAACCTAGAAAAATGAAGAGAGTCTTATTAAGTTACATCACCAGCCTTGCTGGATGTGCCAATTTACATGAGCAGCTTTTTACTGCTGAAAAATAAGCCTTAAAAAGGTTCTCTCTAGTGAATAAATTTGTTTTGTTTTTTGAGATAGGGTCCTACTATGAAGTTCAGGCTGGTCTTGAACTGTGTAGCCCAGGGCTGCCCTTGAACTTGAAGCAATCCCCTTGCATCAGTCTCCTGAATGCTGAGATTACAGGTGTGTATCACACGTCTAGCTCTAGTGAATAAAAAAAAATTTTTTTTTGTCTTTTTCGTTTTTATCGGTACCGGGGATCGAACTCACGACTGCCTGCTTGCAAGGCAGGCGCTTATGCCGCTGAGCTAAATCCCCAGCCCCTGTGAATAAAATTTTGTATGGTTTGCCACTATTACTTTTTACAAGGACCCCTAAGAAGCTATAAAGAAAAGGGAGTTTAGATAGGATGAACACTGAGGTTTGCGACATTTCAAAACTGGCTCATTAAGCATCTAAAATCATATATGCAGAGCTCACCAGTCCAGCTCTGGCAGTCTGGCTAAGAGCAGCTTTAGAGAACTCCACTTCTCCCCAGTGGGATGGTTCAGGGCAGCAAAGAGCTTCTGGGCACTGGAGTGCCTGGAAAGGCAAAAGCTCACAGGTTAGAATCCTATTGCCTACCGCATATGTGCTCCACACAACTAGTTCTGAGGCTTTCACGCCAGGGGCCTGTGACAGATGCAAGGCTTCCAAACAAGCATCTCACTGACTTAAAATGTGGTGTCGGTGCTTGATGACCAGTGTGGTCACAGAGGAAGTGTGGTCCTAAAAAGCCCCTCACAGTGGTATTAGTTTCTGAATCCCAGTGCAGTCATCTTTTTCATCTTCTGTTTCCCCAAGGGCACTGGCTACTGGCAAGCTGGCAACACTAAAACAACTGCTGGTCCTTCCAGAAGCCAAAAGCCCTGTGTTACATAAGGGGAGGCATCCTGTGGCGCACACACCCATAAGGCATAGGGAACTAAGTGTAAACGCTGAGGGCAGTCACTTACAATCTCTTTTGTTCCACAGATAATCCATCTTCCTGGATCACTTTTAAAGAGAGCCCTAAGTTATTCTGCTGTTGCCAGGGGGAGAAGACCTAAACAAAACAGAATTTGAGTAAAGAACACTTTAAACCCAACAACAGGATATGGGATCCACATGGGATTTGATAGTTGTTGAAAAGCTAGACTATCAGTGAAGAGAAAAGCCATTATAACAAACAAGTTTGTCTAAAAAAATAAGGCCAGAAGCAATTCTATCTTATGTTTTGCAAAGGCATTTGAAAATGTCTGTCTGGATTCTTCTCCTTAGGAAGGAAGGTACTGAGAAACATTCTCTGGCAATCAGGGCAATCTCTTTCCTGCTGACAGGGCCAGACACTCCTGGTTCACGTAACTCCTGTGTCCAGCAGAGGGATGGCTGAAGAGAATCCAAGCCTGTCTTTAGGTTCCCAGATTGAGAACTTGTCTGGAGGTTCTAGCAAGGGACAACAGCTACTTGCATCCTTGACCAAAGAAGCTACTTGTATCTCCTTGACCAAAGGAATGGTCCTTTTCTATTGGGGCATGGGGGAGTGTGGTCATTCTCTTTGGTGAGCTCATGGAATGTTGAGGGAGGAAGGGGACACTGCCAGAAGAATCAACCCTGGAGATCAATGGGGTGACACATATGGCAGCCAGATCCCAGACTGAAAGGACAAGCACAGAAAAGCAAGCAGGCCCAGCAGGCAGCAATGGGCTGAGAAGCTACTCTGCAGCCCAAGTTAGCTCTTGGTCCTCTACATTTTGTGAATGTGTCCTGAAGGTGTCACTGACCCTTGACCAGCCGCTGCAATCACACCTTCTGAAGAATTTCTACTCACCATGAGGCTGGCATCAGCCTGACTCTGGCTACTGCTTTTTTTTTGTACTGGGAATCGAACTTAGGACTTTGCCCTTACCAGGCAGGCACTGTGCTACTGAGCTAAATCCCTGGTCTACTGCTTGGTCTTTAAATGGAACTTATGATTCTTGGGCAGCACCTCCCCCCCCCCGCCCCTTATGTAACCTGTGCTAACACCTTTAATAGACAGCCTGCCAGTGCAAGGGCAAGGACTGATTCCTAGGGAAGAAGAACATGGGCTGGAATACAGAGCTCTAATCCCATAGGTAGGGCCCGTGACTCAGTAAGATAGCTAAAAGAGAAAAAAGTCTCATTGGGATTTAAAGGGGAGAAAGATTTTCCTTGAAGTCTAAAAAGTTTTTGTTTGTTGTTTGGTAGACCTGGGATTGAAGCTGAGCATGGTGGCACACACCTGCAATCTCAGCATTCAGGAAGCTGAGGTAAAAGGATCATTGGGAGTTTGAGGCCAGCCTGAACTACACAGTGAGAACCCATCTCAAAAATACCACTCCTCCTTCCCACAAAACAAAAAACTTGAGTACTGAACCCAAGGTGTTATATGTCTTAGGCAAGTGCTCTACCATTTTTTTTTGCATGTGGTAAACCAGCACTCTCTTATTTATTTATTATCTTACTAGGTAGTTTAATTCAGGCTGGCCTTGAACTCGCTCTATAACCTAGACTGGCCTCAAACTTACGCAGCCACTCCCTCTCCTCAGTCCTCTCAACTCCTGCTCTCATCACCCTACTGTTAACACTCAAGACACTGTCTTACCATCTAAGTAAAGGGGAGAATGCAGTAGAGTCACTTTCCGGAGTAATGAGTGATGTTACCTCTGAGTAAAATGCTTGATAGATCTTTGATTTTGGAAAAAGGGCAATCATCAGAAAATTGCCTGATCCATGGAAATGAACTGGGAGGTGAGGAAGTAATGAGCTTTTGAAGTCGATGAGAAGGGCAGCCACAATACTGGTAGAATCCTAAAGAGAAAATGAGGAGCATTAGCAAGAAAAGCCATTTTTTGATTCCAGTCCTTATAACTAGTGTCAGAACACTCAGGGATGTCAGTGCAGGTATGCACTGAGGTTCAAGAACTGATGTGCCAAGCCAGGTGTGATGGCTCACGCCTGTAATCCTAGCACTCAGGAGGCTGAGGTGGGAGGATCATTGTGAGTTCGAGACCAGCCTGGGCTACAAAGTGAGCTCAAGGCCAGCCTGAACTGCATAGCGAGACCCCGTCTCAAAAAAGACCAAAAAAAAAAAAAAAAAAAAAAAAGAATTGATGTGCCTTCCCATACTCAGTTACAGTAGTGATGGGCAGTACAGGAATCTTTTATCCTAAACTGACAATGACACTCAAAATTTCTTCCAGGACATTAATCCCTAGTTGCATGTATGATTTGAAAATATTTTCTGATTCTGTGGGTTACTGTTTTTACTCTCAAGCGCATCCGTTTATTCTCAGAGGTTTAAATTTTTTGTTTCTGTTTTGAACCTAGGATGTATGTCTGTTAATCAAGCACTACAATTAAAGAATAGTTCCAGCCCTTTTTCGTTTTTTCAGATAGTCTCATAAAACATTCCCAAAGCTGGATTCAAACACGTGATCCTACTGCTCTGACGTCCTAAGTAGCTGAAATTATAGGCAACAATCACCATCTCCCAACAGGATTTAAAATTTTTTGCCCCAGTATTGGGGACTGAAGCCAGGGACTTTAAGGCAAGCTACACCCAGCCCACTCCTTTTTTTTTTTTTTTTTTTTTTTTGGTGTTTTTTGAGACAGGGTTTCACTATACAGTTCAGGCTGGAGCTCACTTTGTAACTTAGGCTGGTCTCGAACTTGCAACGATCCTCCTGCTTCAGCCTCCTGAGTGCTGGACTATAGGCATGTGCCACCACGCCCAGAAGCTCAGCCCTTTTTAAAAAATTTGAAACAGGGGGCTGGGGATTTAGCTCAGCAGCATAAACACCTGCCTTGAAAGCAGGCAGTTGTGAGTTCGATCCCCAGTACTGATAAAAAAGGAAAAAGAGAAAAAAAAATTTTTGAAACAGGATCTTGCTAAATCAGTAACTTGCCATGATAACTTTAGCTTGTGATTCTTCTCCCTCAATCTCCCACAGTGCTAGGATTAGACATGGACCAGGAATATCTCTTTATCTTTTTTGTGTAATGGTGACTGCATGAATTATATAGCTGTCAGAGCTTTCAATGGACAGAATTATAAAGTATATTTCAATGAATTGTCTTTATTTATCTACTTATGTCTTTTTTTTTTTTTTTTTTTTTTTGAGATAAGAGTCTCACTATGTAGCTTGGGCTGGTCTTGAACTCACTATATAGTCCAGGTTAGCCTCAAACTCATTGTGATTATCCAACCTCTGCCCCCCAAGTGCTACGACTACAGGCATTTACCAACTACAGGCATGTACAACCATGCCAAGCAACAATAAAGCTTTTATTTAACAGGGCCAACTGATCTGCCCAATTGGTCTGCCTACATTTCTGAAGTCATTAATAGGTTTTTTGTTTGTTTGTTTGTTTGTTTGTTGTCTTTTTGAGATAGGGTCTCATATGCAGTTCAGGATGCCTTGAGCTCATTTTGTAGCCCAGAGTGGTCTCAAACTTGCAATGATCTTCCCACCTCAGCCTGGGATTACAGGTGTGCACCACCATGTCAGGCAAAACAACAGGTTTTATGTGAAAGACTTGCTCGTTAACTCATCTTCTGAGCAACTGGACCAAAACATCCCATCTCATTTGTCCTGGCTCTGAGGATGGTTTTAGACATGAGACCAGCTTAAATGGAATGCCTGCCTTCTGTTGCTCTGTCCCACTATGAGGTACACCGAGTCTATTAGTGAGTATGGGCTGGGGGATACTCAGAACTATTCTTCCCTGAGGGAAAGAGTAAGTGGTAAACTGAAATGATGGTACTGGGAATGGTAGATTCATAGAACTAGAGATTAAGCCTGAGCCTGTGAGGGAGGTGGGGCTAAGGGGAAGTTAGCCACTTCCTTCTCTTTGGACCATTTGTAATCCTGTCTGTGGGTCAAAGATTGCCTGTGAGGGGCCACTCAATGGAGGCTTCTTCAGTCTGCTTCCCAGTACTCTTTGGGACGAGTGACTTGGGCATAGGGACCTGCTGGCAAATGCTGAAGCATTGATTAGGCAAAAGGAATTCAAGTTAGGGATTAGGGTTAGGGCCTGGGCAATTTAGCAGCTTACTAAGACCCTATTTCAAAATAAAAACAGCTGGGGATGAAGCTCAGAATAAAGGTTCTGGTGTCAGTTCCTAGGACTTCCAAAAAACAAACAAACAAAACAAACCCAAAAAGCAAAACATAACAAACAAAAAAACTCCATGTATATCTTTCTGATCTCCAAAGCACTGGTAAAGCACTTACCCCATCATAGAAAGAAATAGAATTCATGTGATCCTTAGAAATGATGATATTTCCATGATGGTGGTGAGAAAATAAAAGGCCACTGGAGAAGAAATGCACATTCCCTGAAAAGAAGAGAAAAAAGCTGTCAGAGCTGGAGAGGAGGATTCTGGGTTCCAGATTCCAGTGTCTTCCTTGAGACACCGGAGTGCTAACTGTGGACCAGGGTCAGTGTTATGGCTTGTGTTAAGAAGTCTCCTCAAAGTCTCATGTGGCTGTAAGTGGGGCTTTTTCAAAGGTGACTAGATCTAGACTGATTCATGGTGCAATCATCAAGGGCACTTTGGACGGAGGGTGTGAGTGCTACCCACCCAAAGAGCAGATAGCCTGGTACAATGTAAGGGACAGGAGGTTTGCTGCTAGTTACTGACAGTTTTTTGCGGGCTTGCTTTTGATGTCTTTTGCCTGCCATAAACTGTTTTTCCTCTGTGATGTCCCTCTGAAACTTCTACAAAATGTGAGCTGAAATAAACCTTTTTTCCTTTGTATTTGATATTTTATTCAGCAATGAAGTAAGTCAGTAGTGCTTACATTATCCAATTCATAGGCTGAGCCCTGTGCTCTAGGGAAGTCAAAGTAACTTCATAGAATCTTGGAAAGAAATGAGATCATGAATACAATCTTTGTATAAGTATTAGAAAAAACAAAAAGTATCTCAAGTATCAGCTGGCTGAGAAAGGCAAAATTCATATTCCCTTTTAGGTGTCTTCCAAGGAAAGACAGTAATGTATACACTCCATTACTGAGTTTACAGACTTTCTCCTTCCTCCTGATATGAAGGCAGCTCACTCAGCCCTAGAGATCACTTCCCTTACTCAGGGCCCAGGAAGCAACAGCAGAGTTTCAGCTGAAGTCTCGGCAAGTGATGTGGCCAGCTAAGCAACATCTGAGTTAGGTGGTGAGTGGATGCCTGGACACTGGCCACCTGCTGCTCTACAGCTCCCCAAAACAAGATGGGTGGCAGGTGGACAGTGGGTGTGGGTTTCAAGTCTAAAGAAGGCTGCTGCTTCTCAGGTGCACAGTTACACAGAACAGCTCAGTCTTGGGCCTAACGAAAAAGATGGCTAAGATACAAGAACAAAATCCAGAAAAGATGGGTAACGAAGATGACAAGATTAGGGCTTGTTCTGGAGTCCAGAGCACCTATCAGACGCCTGGGGAAGCTGCTCTCTGAAGTTAGTCCAAGTTAGATTCTTTCTGTTCTGTAACAGTCTTCCTTTGCAGGTTTTCAAACACAGAGCAGAAAAAAGGAGTTCAGCAGTATGTTTCAGAGATATCATTAATATCTTGTTGAAGGGCAAAAGTCTAGAAACAGAGAAAAAGTAATACAAGAGGTTGCAAAGGATGTTGAGCTCGGCATGATGGTGCACGCCTGTAATCACAGCAACTTTTGAGTGGCTGAGGCAGGAAGATTACAGATTTGAGACCAGCCTGGACAACTAACCCTAACCCTGCTCAAAAAAAAAAAAAATTAAAAATGGATGGGAATATATAGCTCAGGAATAGGGTGTTTGCTTAGCATGCATCAGACTCTGGGTTCAAATCACAATAAATACACACAGAGAGAAAGAGAGAGAGAGAGAATGAGAATAAGGATGGAAGAAAGGAAGTAAAAATGTAACAAAGAAAGAAGTATAAAGCCCAGGAGTGTGAGGGCTAAGTCTGAATCTGGGGTGAGGAGTCCATGGACTGCAAGTTCTGAAGACTTGCTGAGAAACTGGGGTTTTAGAAGAAAGGAAAGAGCCTAGTGAATATGTGTTAATGGGAGATGGGGTGAGAGAGACAGGGGAATGGGAGGCAGTTTTTAGGTACAAGAAGGTGTAGAGCCAGACAGTGAACAGAAGTACGAGAGGGTCAAGTCAAGAAGGACAGCAACCTTACCATCATGACAGTGATTCAGGGCAGCAGCAGCCTGCCCTGTTCAAGGTGTCCAAGTTGAAGCCTGTAAGCCTTCGCCTTCCACCAAGTAAAGCCTGGCTCACACCAAACTCTTCCTTGACCCAATGCTGGTCCTCACCCTGCTCCCAGTTCCCTCCTCCTCTTCCCCTAGCAAGGCTCTTTTGCTCTCTGGAGGATATACCTCCCTGCCTTAACTGCCCACATCTTCTGTCCTGCTCATGCCACAGTATTTCAAACAGTTGTTGTCAACCCTTCCAGAGTCCCCACTCCCACTTCTTTTGAGGACCACAGAGAGGGTCCAGGCCACAATGGGGTCACTCTTCAAGGCTGACTGCACAGCAGTGACACAGAACCTGGGTCACTTCACTTAAGTCTTTAGACCCAGAGCCTACTTTCTAACTCTAGCATCTCATTCTTGAACTGATCTTCCCTAATCCTATCCTCTGATACTGCTAAACCTGCAGAGCCTTCGGCCCTCTCCTGGCTCTAACGTTAAGTAATTTGGACATTCCTTTCATTCACATCAAGGACTGATCCCCTGGGATAGGAGGTACCTTTGTTTTTTTTTTTTTTTTTTGTAGTGCTGCAGATTGAACTGGGCCTGAAGCATGCAAGGCAAATAACGCTACCACTGAACCACATCCCCAGCCCGAGGAACTTTAAATCTCTGTTTTATCAAAGAAAAGGCATGGGAATAGATTTTATTTTTAACAGCAACAAAGTTTTATTGAAGGTAAGAACAGAAACATGCTCTGCAGAGTGAGTTGGGGCCAAGTAAAAGTACGAAAAGTAGTACTCCCTAGCTGGACATGGTGGCGTACTGTTGAAGTCCTAGCACTCAGGAGGCTAAGGCAGGACGATCACCTTGAGTTCAAGGACAGCCAGAAGCTACACAGTGAGTTCAAAACCAACATGTAATACAAAGCAAGACTCTGTCTCAAACGAAACCAAAGAAACAAAAACAAAACAAAACAACAACCCCCCCCAAACACCCACAAACAACAACAACAAAAAAAGAAAAATATAGTCTATAGCATGATAACATGAGTGTGGGCCACCATGAAAAACAGAACACAATGGCCAGACTATTTTATTACTTATTATTATTTTTATAATTTTGCCTTTTAAAAAAAATTTTATTTAAGGAGAAAAAGAAAAAAAAACAGAAAAAGGGTACAAGTAATACAAAATTTAAAAAATAAACAGTAACAAATCACAAGTTAATAGATTACATATTCTCATCTTAGAAATAGTTGTTCAAGTTACAAAATTAAAGCATATAAAGTGGATTTTCAAACAGTGAGACTGCAAATAGTTTTGTTCAATGATCCAACAAAACTCAGTAATATGGTTATCTATCTTATACATTTAAACATATATGCAGTTATAACCTTTAGAGCACTTTCTTTTCTTTTCTTTTGTACAATGACAATTACATATTTTGGGCTTTATTACTCCCACAGTTCTTATTACTTTTTTTGAAGAGAGTAAAACCAAATGCAACATATCAGAACAGAGTCAGTCAAATCAAAAGGATGGACATAATAGATAATGTAAAAACAAAATACAAAGTGATCAACAATGGTTACCATACTGCCTCTTGCTATCTTAAGAAGAATTGCCTATATCATCAGTTATAATAAAATTGAACAAAACAGTAAAGAACAAAACCAATAAAACAAAAACAATCGAGACAGTACAGGACTTCAAAAGAAGATAATAGTCAAACCAGAATGGGCATCATAGTGAATCCTATTGTCTTCACAGTTGTTGCCTATACTCTCAAACTTGGTACTATCAAGCTAAGCAGAATAGGGGAAAATCAGTCAAAACAAGATAGTGAGGGCAAGACAGGGTTTCAAATCAAGTTAATAGGAAATCAAAGTAGTTATTATAATATATCCTGCTATTTTTTAATTTATTTTTCCCTTAATTAAAAAGATAAAAATAGGGGCTGGGGATTTAGCTCAGTGGCATAAGCACCTGCCTTGCAAGCAGGCAGTCGTGAGTTCGATCCCTGGTACCGATAAAAACAAAAAAGACCAAAAAAAAAAAAAAAGATAAAAATAAAAAAGTAAATAATTAAAAAAAGGAGATTGAGATAAAAGAGGGCACAACAACAAAACAGTGCAGGTCAAAACATAACCATTTAAGCAAAATAAGTGTTTCACCACAGGATATCCTAACATAAAAGTAGTTACCACAGTGTCTCTTTCCTTGAAATCTTTGAGTATAACTTCGTATACTGTAGCACCAAACATATCCAGACAATGTAAAACCATTCAAGAGAATGACAGTATTATACGGTATTCAGAACCAACTAACACAAAATGAACAATGGTTTCTGTATAATCTCGTCTATAAAAGATTTTGCTTATATTATCACATATAATAAAATCCAGTAAGATACTACCTGTTAAGACCGATGGAGACAGACGAATAAAAGCTTGATGGGACTTCAAAACAAGATGATACTAAATCAGCATTAGCTATTATGATGTCTTGTTTTCTCCAAAATAGCTGTTCCTACCATCCAATCTTCTCTGCCTCATTTCTGTTGAGCTCTTTTTCTGTCGTTTGTTGTCAGTTTGTCTTCTTCATTTCCCTTTCTGCTCCATTCATTGTGGCCTCTCTGCCACTATTTCTGGAATCTTGGTATTTTCCTTTTTAGAATATCCGGCAGTATTCTCTGTAGAGTTCAATTGGTGGTTGCAAATTCCCCTAGTTCCTCATGGAAGCACTTTGTTTTTCCATCAATTTCCAGGGACAGTTGTTCAGGATATATCAATCTTGGCTGAAGGTTATTATCTTTCAAAGCTTGAATTATTTTCCCCCATGCTCTTTGTGATTTGATGGTTTGTGGTGAGAAGTCTGCTGTAATTCTGATGTGTGTTCCCTTGTAAGTGATCTGCTTCTTGTCTCTGACGGCTTTTAATATTCTGTTCTTATATTGGATTTCTGGAATTTTGATTATTATATGCCTCGGTGTAGCTCTGTTTGGGCTGTAGGTGGCTGGGGTCCTGTATGCCTCGTACATCTAAGTATCTTTACCACTTGCTAAATTAGGGAAATTCTCTTGGATTATTTCTGTGAATAGCTTTTGTAGTCCATTTGTTTGTGTCCCAATGTCTTCTTTTATGTTCTTAATTCTTAAGTTATAGATCATATCATCTTCTAGCCTTTGTATTATTGCTGTTTGTTTTCTTATCAATTTTTTGGTCTTTTTCCTTTTTTTTTTTTTTTTTTAAGCCTACAGCACCCGGTATTCCCAGGCAGTCTCCCATCCAAGTACTAACCAGGCCCGACCCTGCTTAGCTTCTGAGATCAGACGAGATCGGGCGCGTTCAGGGTGGTATGGCCGTAGACGGTCTTTTTCCTTTTTATCGGTACCGGGGATCAAACTCACGACTGCCTGCTTGCAAGGCAGGTGCTTATGCCGCTGAGCTAAATCTCCAGCCCCTGTTTTCTTGTTATTTTTAGGAAGTTTTTCATTTCATGCTCCCACATTACAAATCTGCTCTCCAGTATATATAATCTACCCTTAGTTTCTTTCAAGCTGTTATGCCAGCTTTCGAGTTTTTAGTTTCCTGGTCATCTCTTTGAACCTGCTTCACATTTCTATGTCTTCTCTATTTTCTCCATCAAACAATTCTCCCCTTTTTTTCTGTTCTTCCATTCCACTATCTGTTTTTTCTTGGGCGGTGCTTAGCATTTCTCTAATTATTCTACTTATATCTTGCTTTAGGTCATTAGTAACTTCATTTTTGAACTGGTCTACGAGGCTCTGGAGATATCACTTTATGTCTATTGGTGCCATGTCTGATACTGAATGTTTCTCAGGATTGGGAGCCAAGGACCCTTTCTTGTTGCTCCCTCTTTCCATATTTCTTGTTCCTTCCATACAAGTATATATAGGAGGCCCAGTTTCTTTCTTTGTCGGTTACAGTTTGTTTGAATTGCGCCGGCTAGGTGTTCCCACCCACTGCAGTGTACTAGGGAAACATAGACCTGGGCAGCCTATGCTGGGCCTGCCCCTCCAGGTCAACCTACTGAAGGCTTCACTGCTAGGGTTCACTTCCAGGCGCTGGGACCTGGTTTGGGTTAGCCTACTGAGAAAGTCAGTGGCGACACCCAGGCTAGGCACTCCCCACCAATCCCGCTTGAGAGGGGAATATGCGACTAAGGACACTGCAGCGTCCTGTTCCGGCTAGTCTGCCCGGTTCCAGTATGTCCTTTGCTGAAGTCTCCTACTTTATGGAAGGGTCCCCGATCCGCTCACTCACCGCAGGTCGATGTAGAGTTCCCGGCCAGTCCTGCTCTCAACTCCATTCACTGCTTCCCACTCTCAGAGCTTTCATGCCTCTCTCCTTGCCATGCCGATTGGGACACAGCAGTAGCTGCAGGAAATTCAAATCGCGGATTCCAGTGGCACGGGCTCCAGCTTCTGCGCTGAGACTTTATCTGTTCCTGTTATAGCACTGGGATTGCGTTTCCAGTTGGTTTCTTTTAGTTTAGTTCGTTCCTGGGTCGGCAGGGTATATCTCCCCTTGCTTAGGACTTCTCGCCCCGCACCATTCCTGGATTTTTAAGTGGGGTATCTCAGAGAGCCTCCGTAGCTGCTGCTATCTATCCACCATGTTCTCCCGGAAGTCCAATTTTGCCTTTTTGATACAGGGATTCAATATGCAGTTCAGGCTAGTCTTGAACTCATTTTTAGCCCAGGCTGGCCTAGAATTCATGGGAATCCTCCTGCCTCAGCTTCGCAAGAGCTGGGATTATAAGTGTGTACCACCATGCTTGGTGGGAACAGACTTTACTGAATATATATATATTTTAAGGCAGGGTCTTGCTATGAAGTTCAGGCTGGTTTTGAACTCACTATGTAGACTAGACTGGTCTTGAATTCACAGCCTCCTCACTGCTCAGATTATAGGCATGCGCCAGCTTTTATTCAGAATTTCTTAACCACCTAGCATATTACATACATGAGTGTCCATCTTTGCAAAAATTCTAAGAGGCAAAAAAAATTCTAAAAGGTGGCTGGATGAGGTGGTGCATGCCTGTAATCCTAGCATTCTGGAGGCACGAGGGACCAAAACTTAAGTTCAGCATGGGAAACACCAAAATACAGTAGTTGCTAAAATCTGAGACCTCAGTGGTTGTGAAACCATCTCAAAATAAACAATAAAAAAAAGAGCTTGGGATGGAACTCAGTGTGAAGGCCTGAAGTACTACTGCCCCCTCTTCAAAATAAGAAAAGGTATTACCTTTTTTTTGTCTTGGAAAATGGAAGCTACCCAGACTGTGTTCTCTGCCTCATACCCCCTTTAAGGAGGAAGTAAGAATGATCATCACTGGCAACTGGCAGCTTCAGCAAAGCAGCAGCAAGAGCCAGTTTCACAGCTAGAAAGGAATACTTTGCCTCCTTTGCATGGCTTCTGGTACTTGCACAATCAGTGCAACTCCTTAGTAATATGCTGTAGACATGACCCCTCAGCATGCAGCTTGGTATTAACTCCCCTTGCAGGAGTGATGAGGAAACCCAAGCTCAACAGGTTTCCCAGAAAGTCAGTCACTTGGTGGGAAAGCTGGTTCTACCACACGATGACACACTGAACTTCTGCAGTTCTCTTGCTGCTTTTTTACTTCAGGTTTCTTTGTCCAGGGCCCAACATGGCCCATCTGATATGCATTGTACATTTTCACCCTGAACAGGCCTGCAGCATGGCCCTCCCGCTGCAGGCTCTTAGCCCCACCACCGGTCCAAAGAGGCCACAACAACCCATGACCTTCAAACTTTCCCAAACTACAAGCTCTGTAACTCCTAAAAAGAGGGCCCTCTAGGCATCATAAAATAGAAACTATCCCCTATCTACTCCATCCTGAGCTTACCCTCTGCCCAGGTACCTTTGAAGTAGAGCTGCATAGCAACAAGTCTAGGAACACTAGGACCTCTTTTTTTTTTTTTTTTTTTTTTAATGTAGTGGTTTTTTTAAGACAGGGTCTCACTATATAGCTCAGGATGCCCTTCAACTTTGTGGTTCTGGTTGGCCTTGAACTTGCAGTGACCCTCTTGCCTCAGCCTCCCAAGTGCTGGCATTGTAGGTGTGCCCCACTCTACCTGGCCAAGGGCCTCTTGAACCAATGCAAATTACTTCCAAAGTGCAGACATCACTGGAGAAATTTGCATTTCACTTCCTCATGAAATAGCAGGGAAAGAGGTGGATGAGGGATATTATCTTTAGAATGATTTTCATTCTGTGACCATGAAAATATTATATGTGAATGCTACAAAGGTTGTTTAAAGAAAAAGACCGAAGGAAGAACACTAAACATGGACCCCTATGCATGCATCACCTGGGCTAAGAAGTCTCAGGCACTAGGACCTCTACAGCCCTCTGGATGGCCTTCCTCAGTATATAGGAAACTTCCCTTACATCCAGAGGACACTAATACGCTCAATTCAAGTAAGTGTATCCACAGACTACACATTACTTAGTCTTGTCTGTTTTTGCTTTCATACATGTGGGATCCTAATCATTTGTTCTGTGATTCGATGACTTTTAATATTTTGTTCCTGTTTGTCATCCATATTCTAAGTAACATGCAGCTGTATAATTCATTTGTGCTCAATATAATCAGAAGTTTCTTTCTTTTTTTTTTTTTTTAACTTTTTTTTGTGTGTGTGGTGCTGGGGATTGAACATGAGGCCTTGTACATACTAGGCAAGTGTTCTAGTAAGCTACTTCTCCAGTCAAAGAACTTTTTAAAAGTGTCCCTAGCTGGTTGTGGTGCTACACACCTGTAATCCCAGCACTTAGAAGGCTGAGGCAGGAGGACTAACACAAGTTTGAGGCCAGCCTGGGCTATACTATGAGTTCAACACCAGCTTGGAATATATTGCAAGACCCTATGTAGAAAAAAAATAAAGTGCTCCCTAAAAACTTCATCTAGGGACTTCCGGGAGAACATGGCGGACAGATAACAGCAACTACCGGAGGCTCTCTGAAAGACTCGGCTCAGAAGCCAGGAATGGTGCGGACTAAGGAGATAAGGAGACATAAGCAGGTGGAGATATGCTCTGTGACTCAGGAACGAACTGGGCTGAGAGAAACCAACTTGGCATGCATTCCTGGTGCTAAAACAGGAACAGAAAAGCCTTGGTGTGGAGGCTGGACCCCGCGCCATTGTAAGCCGCGATTTGGGTTTCCCGCCGCACGGCGGCTGGCTGCCTCTACAGTGGCTCGGCAAGGAGAGAGACGCGCAGAAGCTCTGAGAACGGCAATCTGCGAACGGAAGGGAGGCGTGCACTGACTTGTGGTGAGGTGAGTGAGAGAAACTGACACTCTACCACAGTTTGACTCCAGTGGAGGACTTTCTGGGCCCGAGCAGTCCTGCAGGAGCAGGGCGCGGTGGCGACTCCAGCCACACATCCCCCTCTCGGGCGGGATTGGTGAAAAGTGCCTGGCCTGCGTGACGCTGCCGGCGGACCTTGTAGGCTGTCCCAACCCAGATCCCAGAGCCTGACGGTGGCCGGGAGGGGAGACGCGTAGGCTGCCTGGTCCTTAACTCCCTGGTGTGCAGCGGTGAGTGGGAACACCTAACTGGCGCAATTCGATCAGGCTGTGGCTGACTGGGAGAGAAGCTGGGCCTCTTATATAAGCTTGCATATATAAGGAACAGAGAAGAGGCAGCATGGGAAGAGGCAGCAACAAGAAAGGCTCCTCGGCCCCCAATTCTGAGAAACAGGCAATAGCAGACACCGCACCAATACACATAAGGCGCCATATAGAGAGCCTCATAGACCAATTCAGGAATGAAGTTATCAACGACCTGAAGATAGAAGTATGCAGAATAGTCAGAGAAATGCTAAGTACCACCCAAGAAAAAACAGGTGGTAGAATGGAAGAACAGAAAAAAAGGGGAGAATTGTTTGATGGAGAAAACAGAGAAAGCACAGAATACGTGAAGCAGGTTCAAAGGGACTACCAAGATACTAAGAAGTCTATAGAAGACTGGCATAACAGCTTGAAAGAACCTAAGGACAGACTATCTGAACTGGAGGGCAGACTTGTAATATGGGAGAATGAAATGAAAAACTTCTTAAAAATAACAAAGAAACAAACAGCAATAATACAAAGACAAGAAGATGATAAGAGGATCCATAACTTAAGGATTAAGAACATAAAAGAAGAAGTAGGGACACAAACAAGTGAACTACAAAAGCTACTCACAGAAATAATCCAGGAGAATTTTCCTAATTTAGCAAAAGGTAAAGATACTCAGATGTATGAGGCATACAGGACCCCAGCTACCTACAACCCTAACAGAGAAACACCCAGGCATATAATAATAAAAATTCCAGAAATTCAATACAAGAACAGAATATTAAAAGCTGTAAGAGACAAGAAACAGACCACTTACAAGGGAACACCCATCAGAATTACAGCAGATTTCTCGGCACAAACCAATCAAATCACGAAGAGCATGGGGGGAAATAATTCAAGCTTTGAAAGATAATAATCTCCAGCCAAGATTGAGATATCCTGTACAACTGTCCCTGGAAATTGATGGAAAAACAAGGTGCTTCCAGGATAAAGAGGAACTGGGGGAATTTGCAACCACCAATTCAACTCTACAGAGAGTATTGCAGGATATTCTAAAAAAAGAAAAATACAAAGAATCCAGAAATAATGGCAGAGAGGCCACAACGAATGGAGCAGAGAACAAAATGAAGAAGACAAACTGACAACAAACGACAGAAAAAGAGCTCAACAGAAATGAGGCAGAGAAGATTGGATGATAGGAACAGCTATTTTGGAGAAAATGACATCTTAATAGGTAATACTGATTTAGTATCATCTTGTTTTGAAGTCTCATCTAGCTTTTGTCCTTCTGTCTCCAATGGTCTAAATAGGCTGTATCTTATTGGATTTTATTATGTACGATAGTATAAGCAAAAACCTTTTAAAGACAAGGAGATTATACAGAAACCATTGTTCATTTTCTGTTAGTCGATTCTAAATACTCTGTAATGCTGTCATTCTCTTGAATGGTTTTACATTGTTTTGATATACTTAATGCTACAGTATACGAAGTTGTACTCAAGGATTTCAAAGAAAGAGACAATATGGTAACTACTTTTAGGTTAGGATTATCTGGTGGTAAAACACTATTCTGCTTAAATGGTTATGTTTTGATCTGCGCTGTTTCGTTGTTATGCCCTCTTTTATCTCAATCTACACTCCATTATTTACTTTTTTATCTTTATCCTTTTAATTAAAGGAAAAAAAATAGCAGGATATATTATAGTAACCCACTTTGACTTTTCATTACCTTGATTTAAAGCCCTGTATTACTCTCACCATCTGGTTTTTAACTGATGTTCCCCTATTCTGTTTTGCTGGATAGTATCAGGTTCGAAAGTTTAGGCATCAGCTGTGAAGATAATGAGATTCATTATGACGCCCATTCTTGTTGACTTTTATCTACTTTTGAAGACCTACAATGTCTCCAATGTTTTGGTTTTGTCGGTTTTGTTCTTTACTATTTTGTTCAATTGTATTATAACTAATGATATAGGCAATTCTATTAGAGATAGCGGGAGGCATTATGGTAACCATTGATGATCACCTTGTATTATGTTTTTATATTATCTATTATGTCCACCCTTTTGACTTGACCGATTCTGTTCTGTTAGGTCACATTTGGTTTTACTCTCTTCCAAAAAAGTAGTAAGAACCGTGGGAGCAATGAAACCCAAAATGTGTAATAGTCATGGTACAAAAGAGAGGAAAAGAAAGTGCTCCAAACTATATAACTGCATGTATATTTAAGTGTATAAGATAGAAAATGATATCACAGAGTTTTATTGGATCAATGAACAGAACTGTTTGCAGTATCATTGATGGAATGTCCACTTTACAAGCTTTAATTTTGTGACTTGAACAATTATTTCTAAGATGACAATATGTAATCCATTAACTAGTGATTTCCTACTGTTCATTTTTTTTCTGTAAATCTGTATAACTTGTACCCTTTCCCTGCTTTTTTTTTCTTTTCTCCTTAAATAAAATTTAAAAAAAAATTAAAAAAAAAAAAAACTTCATCTAGGTACAAGATTAACATGAGAGTCTGCAGAACAAAGGCTGTAGAGAACCAGTCCTAGGCTGCCTATCACCCTTCCACAGGTGAAAGTCTCTTTGGGCCCCAGAGCTCTCAGGATGTGTCCACTTTCCTGTGTGTCAGTATGACCCACATCCTTGCTCCTCCCTGCTGAACAATCTCCACCTAATGGAAAAACAACTCTGGAATATAAATCAATACAGGGAAGTCAGGGATGATAAAGGCAACACCTGTAATCCCAGCATCCCAACACTCTGAGAGGCTGAAGAAGAAGAGGAAACACAAATTCAAATCCAACTTGGGTAATTCAGTGGTTTAGCAAGCCTATGTCACAAAACAAAACAAAATAAAACAAAACCAAAGAAAGGAAAAAAATTTAAA